TGATAATGATAGTAATCTTCATTATTTTTTAAGAAACATTTTTGTACTTTTTGCAAATTAGTTGATTTATTGAATGATTAAATGTATGAATTAATAATTAAAAACTAAAAAATATAGCTGTTAAAAATTATATGAAAATAATAATATCAAAATAATTAAAACTCATCTCTCATTTATCACAAAAAATCTGTAAAAAATAATTTAATAAAATAAAAGAAAAAAGTAATATTTTCAATCAGTCAGTCAGTAAAACTACTTTATAAATTAGAAAAAGGTTTGAAATCTCAATTAGAATTTGAAAGGGGGAATTGATAATCTACTTTAAAATATATATATTTATTAGCTTAGTTTATTATTTTTGTAATACCTTAAAATATAAAAATGAATTCGGGATATAAATAAATGTATTAAGCAAAAAATTAAAGACAAATAGAAATAAATTCTAATTATGATAATAGAGCCTATTAATCTATCTCTCCTAAAAGCACTAACACTAATAATTATAACTCAAAGAGTCCAACAAATATGAATAGAAAAGCAATACAAATGCAACATTAAAATATGCATTCATAAAAACCTTTGATATAAAATAATGATTTTGAGTACTCACAAACATATCATATTGTTAATGAAATGAGTTTCTCATCTAAATCGCCTTAGTCTAGAAATAAAACAAATATATAAATTCCTTTCTCCTCCACACCTTCAAGTAAGAAAATTACTTCGCAAAAATCCTCGCAAAGCTAAAACAAAGTACCATTTTAAAAGTATTAGTAAGGTTCCAACTTGAATTTAAATCAATAAATTGCTCCTCCACAACAATGTAAGAAGATATTTGCTAATATTTATAAAAAAATATCAATGACAAAGATATTTAAATCCATTCTAAAAAAATATTTATTGAATTCTTTTAATTTATTTTCAATTTAATAATAAAATATTTTTCATTTTTTCTTTTTTGAAAGTTTTTTTTAAAATAATGGATTTTATTTTATTAAATAGCTTATGTGTAGTAAAGAGAGTTTCTAAATTCCTCTCCTATAAATCTAGATAGATTTGAAAATCTAAATGTTGGAAAATAAAGTATGATCTAAAAGAATAGTTTCCAAAAACCTAATTGGGTAAATTTAAAGCAGAATAATAATATAGCAAATACTTAATAGTCTTCTTCACCAATCAATATGCATAGATCGGAGATGGATGAAAAAAGAGACTAATATGCTCATGATAGATTTAAAAATAACAATTCTTAATAATTTTACCAATCAAATAGCTATGCAAACTATCCTAAGATTTAGTTCTCTAGTATTAATAGTGTTGATGAGCATCAATAAAGTAATTTTAGATCTCCAGAATTCAACTATGCATAACCAGAATATGATACACATAATGTAGTTAGATAGATATAGTTTTTTGATGATGCCTCAAAGGAAAACTATGGTAGATACTTTTTATCTTTATATATTTGTTTCATGTTCTTTATTAAAAATTAGATTCATTTAAACCCTCTAATAGCAGATCACCATAAAATAAATTTAATAATCATAATTATTCAGCTCACTAGCAATAACATTAGAATTCTGTTAATAATTAAAAACACTACAAATCAGATTATGGTAATAATACATAGTACCAATCAAAGTGTAATGGGCTTGGTAATAAAATATAACAAAATATGCTTTTTAAAAATTCAGATAAGCTATTGAAAGAAGTATGCTAAGAGAATGAATACTTTAGTGATGAATAGACTACATATTAAGTTAATACAATTTTAAGTACTATCTAAAAAGAAAAGCAAATAATTATGAATGACATGAACTATCTTTTATGTCAAGTAAAAAAATATAAAGGGTTATGTAAGTAGTAAAATTTAGATTCAAAATAAGAAGATTCTGAATCAAAAACTGAAGATTAAAATAGTAATTTAAGTGAACAGCTTACTAAACCATCGAAATAATAAAAAGAGCTAAGTTAAGATCAGTAGTAGGATTAGATTTAATTAGAAAATAAGTCTTAATCAAGCAAAAAGGATTTAAGTTTTTTGTAAGATTCTTCCATCTGCTTAGATAAAAAATAAAAGGCAGTTAATCAACTGCTTAGTAAATGGGTTAGTGAAGATGCTGATGGATGTTTAACATTTGAAGCAGATTCTCAACAAGATATTTTGCAATCAAATAGTAAAGAAATATAAGACTTAGAAAATTTCACTTAGATTAATGAATCTGATTAAAAATTAATCAACCAATAAAGGACCCAAAAAAATGAAAGATAAACAGAGAAAGAAGTGAATAATAGAAAATAAAACTAAGAATAAAAATTAATTAACTAAGAATACAAGCAATAAGAACAGGAATATATGCCAGAGAGTGAAACTTATTTGAAAATGGCTCATTTGCTATCAGAGATGAATGTAGATCCATCTTTAATTCTTCCTAATCCTTCTAACTTGCCTCAGAGTAAAAATGTTTTTAAAAAAATAGATTCAAAATATTTTATAAATATAAAAAGATAATGAAGCTGTTAAAGATATAGATGATAGAAGCATCATAGAAATTTAAAAGTTGATTATTATTTGTACAAGATATTAAATTCTTATTTCTATATAATTAATTTTTAATAGGCTGATTATCAAAAAGTTAATAAACAAGGTAGAAGAAGGAAAAGAGATGAACAGTATCCTTTTGTAAAAATTGAAGGTAATGCAATGATCGATCTTTAAATGATAAAGAAAGAAAAAACAAACACATTTAAAATTAAAAATAGTTAGCAAAATAATTTTATTTAAAAATAATTAGAAAAAAAAAAAAAAAATTTAAATAATTAATAATTGTTTATTTAAAATGTAAATTTTTATATTCTCATTTTATTTATAAAAGAAAATATTTGTTTAGTCATTTATATATTATATGTGTGCTAAATAAATATTATGAGAGATAAATACTATTTATATGTAATATTTTAAGAAAAACAAACAGGAAGATAATGAGAAAATTAATAAATGATAAGGATATTCAAAAGATTTTCCAAAAGGTGAATGAACAAACAATTTTGATGAAAAAAATAAATAGATCTTCTTATCATTGATTTTGTCAAACAATAAATTAAATTTCATTTAATTTGATACAATAAATTATATATTTAATCTAAATTTTGATAAAATAGTTAATTAATTTATTAGAGATAGCTTGCATTTGCTATTCTTTGCCTGATATTGTTTAAGGTAATATTTTTGGGTAAGAAATATAAGAATAATTCAATAATTATCTAAAACATAAATAAAGTATCAAAGTAATCAATCAATAGTAAGTATCTAAGGAAATAAAAAAGATATGTCGCAATTTACAACCCTTCGTTCAGAAGTGAAGAGTTGGAATTTAGGCTCAGATGATAAAGTAATTTATAAATCATCAATACATATTTGATTCAGCTTATATTCTTCATTTTAAGTCTCTGCAAATTGAAATAATAGAATATTTTTATTAAAAAAGCTCATCAAAGGTATTCAACAGTTTAGCGATAAGCTCTTTTAGAACGCACAAACTTCTCTCGATAATTTTTAGGAATTAAAATATTTGTTGAATTCATGCAATATCGAAATAAACAATACATTCTCTCAATATCAAAAGCTTTCTGAGAGAAAGTTCACTGAATAGGTAATGAATGAATGAATCAATTATATTTTTATATCAATTAAATAGATAAATTACTATTTGGTATGACTTTTCAAACGCTAATAGTCTTTTATAAAATGTGATCTAAAACTTATAATTTGAAACTCTTTCAAGCTAAATTTAAGTTTACTGATTGATATTCTAATTTATTTTTTTTCATTAATTAAAAGAAAATGGCACCAATTAGTGATGCGATACCAACTTAGGAAGAAAAGAAAGATACCCAAGACAGAATAAGCACAGAAGCTAAAAGAATTGATTTCTTCAAAAATGCACTCTCAAAAGGTCTGGAAGCTTTTAATATTGGAGGAAATGATGAACAAAATGATGATTTCTAAGATGAGAGATCTGTGTCTTAGAATAGTATAACCTATTCGGTTACATCAGTCACCTCAGGAATAATGAAAAATTAAAGACTACCCTTTTTTATTGGTTCAAAAATCTTCATGGATGATAGACACATAGGTAATAAATAATAAAATGCTTAAAGCAATTACTATTATAATAAACTCTACATTTTATAGCTATTTTTGATAATGTAATAAAGCTTTAACTGTAAATAAATATCAAACATAAATAAATAATCCAAAATAAATATGATAACAATATATAAAAAAAAATAAATAAATAAATAAAAAAAGGACTTATTCTCAGAGATGATGATGATGACGAAGATGCACCTCAAGATGGATAAAATATCATCAGTTAAGATGTTTATGATCCTAGTAGTAGCAGAACATAAAGTTAAATAAATGGAAATTCCATCCACTAAGGTGATCCAAATGCAAACGGAATCCCACCAGCTCCTCCAATGGATAATATGAATGGAATTCCTCCTGCTCCTCCTATAAATATGAATGGAGTACCTCCTGCTCCAGCTATTGGAAATTTAATACCACCTGCTCCTCCTATTAATGGAATTCCACCACCCCCACCTGTTAATCTAAATTAAAGTGGAATACCTAATGCTCCACCTATTCTTGTCAATAGCAATGCACCACCTGCTCCACCTATTAATCTTTTTATTCCTCCTCCACCATCAATAAATATGTAAGGAAGCAGTGCTGCTCCTCTTATTCCTCAATAAAATTCTATGGGTTTAGAAAATAGTAACAATTTTTATTTATTCATTCATTCATTTTTTGTTCTATTTCTATTATTAACCAATATTTTTTTAATATAGGCGGTGCAGTAGATGAAGGAAATTTGTAATAATAGCTCTTAATGGCTTTATGTAAGAAAATCTTTTATCTTAAAAAATGAATAAATTAATTATGATAATAATATTTTATAATAAGAAAAATAAACTAATAGACAGAATAGAGCACCATCAACGGCTCAGCCTCGTCCTTTGACTCTTTAGGAAGAGATTCAAAAAATTGGCAGACAAAAAAATTAAGACCATGCTCTTGTCGAGTAAGAAGAAGATCCTTCCTTGATTCGTCCTCCTCCAGCTCCTTAAAATAATGCTCCTTTTAGAATGTCTGTTAGAGATGCTTTGACACAAAGTATAATTGGAGATCCTATGGCTGCTAGCAGTTAAGATTAAAATAGTAACAGCCAAACTAAATAAGTTAATAAATAATTGCCAGTTCCTTCTGCTTTGTTTTCTCAAGCTGGATTTATTAATAACCTAATGAACGATGAAGATGATGAAGGAGAAGAAAAATAAAAACCTACCAGGCATAGAAGCACAAGATTTACTTTCAACAATCTTTTCAACATAGAAAAACCTTAATTTGGTAAATATTCATTTGTTTGTTTGTTTGTTTATTTCTTTTGCTTAGACTTTCGTTATAATTTTTCTAAAAAATAAAAGATGAAGATGACTAAATCGAATTAGATAAGAATAAAAATAACAAAAGTAATGTTTCATCCATGGTCTAATAGCCTAGTGAAGGAAAGAAAGTTTAATTTATGGAACCTAATTAACAAAGCAATTTATTACCTCCACCTCCTCCTATTGCTCCACCTATTCCTATTTTAAAGTAGGAGCCCCCAAAGAAGAAACTTGAAAAATTATTTGAAAGCTCTGATGAAGATAGTAAAGATCCATTTGCAAAAGCTTAGAAGATAGGCTAATAGTATAGATAAGAAGAAAAGCAAGCAAAAATTTAAGCCATCACAAGATAAAGCACAAGTAATAACACAAAGAAAAAAATATTTGATGACTCTGATTCAGATGTTGAGAATTTCAAATCAAAATAAACACCTGTGCCTCCAGTTCAAAATAATCCTCCACAAAGATAAACAACTACCAAAGCTAAAATTTTCAACAGTGATAGTGAAGATGATGATAAGAAGCCAAAATAACAAGCTCCCGTTCCAGCTGTTAGCAATCCTTTAGCTGCTTCCAGTAATTCAAAACCTCAAACAGATTTAAAACCTGCCATTAAAAATCCTTTAGGTGGCATAGGCTCTAGAGTATCTAGTAAAAAGAGAGGATTATATGATGATTCTTCATAAAACTCCAATTCAGAAGATGAATCTTCTTCTGCTTAAGCTCAGAATTCTTAGGCAGCTGCTTTAAAACAATAATAAGAAGCAGAAAAGCAAAAATAAGAGGCAGAAAGAATCTAAAAAGAATAAGAACAAGCAAGATTATAATAGGAAGCTCAAAAAAGACAATAAGAAAAGGAAGAGGAAGAAAGAAAACGCAAATTAGAGCAAGAAGAGCAAATGAGACAACTTAAATTGAAGCAATAAGAAGAAGAAAGAATTCTCAGATAAAAAATGGAAGAAGAGCAAAGAAAAAAATAATAAGAGGAAGAAGAAGAAAAGAAAAAGCAAGCTGCGGCTGCTGCTGCCTCTTAATTAAGCTAACCTGTAGCTGCTGGTTTTGGAAGAACTGCAAACAAGACAAAAAAGAAAAATAAATTAGCAAGCTCTTCTGAGAATGAAGATAGTGATGAAGAAGATAATAATACTTCTTAAAAAAATCCTGCTCCTCCAGTAATCTAAACTACATCATCTATTATTACATACAACTAATAGTCTGTAGATCCAGCTCCAGCATTAAATCCTATGGAAGATGCTTTAAAGAATTCTGAAAAACAATCTTCTACTTCTGAAAATCCTATATCTAGAAACTAATCTCTTACAAATAGAGTCAGTCAAGCTTTAAAGGTATTCAAAATCAAAATTTTTTGAGAAAAAAATATATTTTATTGATAAGAAATTAATTTTCTAAACATTTAAAAATTAATTTTGAAAATTATTATTTTTAAACAGGATAAAATTGAATCTATGGGTAGTTTTGATCCTACCAAGATGCTCAAAGGTATGACTTTTATTCCAAAAAAACCTGAATAAGTTCAAGAAGAAATCCATAAATCAGAAGATCAATAGCAACAGGATTCACAGCCAATTGATAAGTCTTTATTGATTTCTACTTAAATGGATAGAGTTTCTATTCCCATGAAGAAGAAGAAAGCAAGAACTATCTAAAAATTTGTAGATACTAGTGATTAATAATAGCTTACAGTCAGCAATAATTTCGCTAGCAATAAAGCTTCAATTATCTTACCTGATGATGAGGATGAAAAACCTCTAGCAGTTCAGAAGAGAAATATTCCTATCAAAGAAAAGGTATCCATATAACCTCCTACTTCTAACCTGCCAAACATATCAAATATGCCTAAAAAAGGCCTTGATTTAGGCAATAGTGATGATGATAGTGGTCCTCTAATGTAAAAAAAAACCTAGCCTTTATCAAGACCATCTAATCCTGTTACTCAGTCTCAATCTAAGCCAAAAGGAGTATTAGACTTAGGGGCATCTGATGATGATGACAAACCTTTAATGAATAAAAAACCCTAAGCTCCTGCTGTCTAAAAACAAAATCCTTTACCTCCTTTACCTGCTGATGATACAATTAAACCAATTCAACATAATCCACCAGCTACTTTAACAAGCTCCCAAAAGAATGATGATAGTGCTGCCTAAAATAAACTGCTTAAGGGTCTTCCTAATATCTTAGGAGCTCCAAAATCTTCTGAGAATAAAAAATCTACAAAGCTAAAACTTGGTGATAGTGATGATGATGACAAACCATTAGCAATACAAAAGCGTTAAGTTTAATCATTAATGCCCTAAAATAATACCTAGTCCAATTAGAAGCAAAATAATGACAATGATGATTTAGGCATTAAACCAATAGCTAGAAATTCTGAAAGCTTGCAAGGAGCAAGTGGATTACCAAACATTTTGTCTAATCCTCTCTCCTCCAATTCTAACCAAGCTCCAAGCCGCGCTTCAGGATTACCTAACATTTCTTCAAATCCTTTAGGAAAAAGCAATATGGCAACTAATAAAGATAAAAAAGATAAAAAGAAAAAGGTTATGTTTAGCGATGACGAAGATGAAGAGCAAGATTCTAAACTTGCTATGCCCAAGTTAAATTAAAGACCTTCAGCAGGACTAAGCAATGATGCAACAGAGAGTGTACCAAAACCAACTAGTTTGCCTCAAAGACCTTCTAAAAAGAATCTTTTTGGAGATGACAGTGATGATGATTAGATAGGCAACAACAATGCTGCCACAAATGCTCCTAAACCTCCAGAGAGACCTTCAGCTAATTTATCAGGAAAGCCAAAAGGCAGAAATCTTTTTGATGATTCAGATGATGATAATAAGAAGCCAGAAGTTTCTGCAACAACATCTAATCCTCTTTCATAAAGCAGTAACTTGAATACAGCACCTGTTAAACCTTAACTTCCTTCCTTATCAAATCCTAAACCTTCAAATAGAAATTTGTTCAATGAAGACAGTGATGATGAACCACTTAAAAATGCTTCAAAAAATCCTTTGGGTTAAGCAAAAGGCTTATAAAACCCATTAGCTTAATCAAGACCATCCTAAAATCCACTTGGTGGAGGTAAATAGGCACCTCCTTCAAAGCCTAAGAAGAGTCTATTTGATGATTCTGATTGAAATTGTTGACTGTAATTGCTTTATTATAAGTAGTCTAAGGCATGACAAGACTCTAAAAATTATAACATTAAATATACTAACAAAATAAATATATAATCTAAGTTCAATTTGTTGAAGAAATACATTACTCATAAGTATTTGATTAGATAAAATTGGAAACAAAATTATATAAAACTGTTCTAACAAATTAATTTCTTTTCTACTTAACAAATTTATGATTTCTTTTTATAACTTGAAGGGATAGATGTTCATGAGGGGTGAATATTAATTTATTTTTTGGGTTTTAAAATGGGTTTTAATCAGTATTGTTCATTATTAATAAAATTTTTTCAAAAAAAAAAATGACTACCCATCTCTATTCTTATTCTGACTATATTTTTAAGTGTTTGTTATAAATAGAAATATTAAGATTTAAAAATGAATGTTAGTTACACTAACTATTTTGTGATTGATATCTATCTCTTCCTAAATGAAAATTTATAAATTCATATTTGATAATTTAATTATTATAATTTGTTTGTTATTTTTATAAAAATTAATTTTAAATAAATTAAATTTTTAATACATTTAAAATTAATTAAATTTCCTTCTTTCTTTAAGTCAATTTTTTCGAAAAAAAAAATAAATGATATAATAGAAAAAATATTTTAACGATTTAGAAGAAGTAATTTATTTTTTTATTAATATTCTTAAAATATATTTTGATTAATTAATAAAAAAAGTTTTTAAACTCTTCACTTTAATTTCATTAGGTTCTCCATATTACTCTCAGGTATATTTAATTTATTAATATTAATTATAATTGTTAATGCTTTTTTATGTTAAATTTCAAGTTTCTGATAATATTTATTATTTTTCTAAGAGAAATTCTCATAAATAATGATTCATTTTTATTTTAAAACATATTTATTTATTTATTTATTTTTTAATTATCTTTACTTAATTTTCACTTTCAATTTTTATTTTTATTCATTACTATTTATTTATTTGATTTTTTTCTTCATTTTTATTTCTAAAGAATTACTTATAGCATTATATTTTTTCAATATTTTTAAAGTGATAATAAAAAAATTGTTAAAGATGTTTCAGTCTTAGGTTCTGCTTTAGCAAATTGCACTAATCTCTCAAATTTGAAACTTAAACTTAAGTAAAATCAGTTAATTTGCTTTGGATTGTGATATTTTTTAATATAAAATGAATTTAAAACAATAAAAACCTTTTTTTAATTTTATTAATTAGCTTTTTATTTGATTTATTTGTCTTTTTATTTGAATCTATCAATGTTATTTATTTTTCTTACTTTGTTAATTTAACTAATTTTTTATTTTCAATTTTTACTTTTATTTTTTATTAATGACTTTATTATTATTTCATATTTTTTCTTCAGTTTTTCCTTACAACTACCTAATTAATTACAAATTTTTCCCTCAATATTTAATAAGTTATAATAAAATTGGTGATAAAGGCATATCTGATTTAAGCTCTGCTTTAACAAATTGCACTAATCTCTCAAATCTGAAAATTAGTCTTCGGTAAAAATTAATTTATTTTAGATTGTGATACTTATTAGCTTTTTATTGATTTATTTTTATTTTTTCTTTTTTACTTTCCTTAAGTTTTTTTTTATTTGTCTTTTAATTTAACTCACTTTTTCATATTCAATTTTTTATTTTACTATAAATTAATATCTTATAGTTTCATATTTTTCTTCATTTTATCAAAAAAATTCAAAAAAATAATTAATAATGGATTTTTTTATTCAATATGTAAAAAGTGACAATCAAATTGGGGTAATTGGTGCATCAGATTTAGGTTCTGCTTTGGCAAATTGTACTAATCTCTCAAATTTGGAACTTGGACTTTAGTAAAAACAATTTATTTGTTTATTTTGGATTGTGATTTTTTTTAATATAAAAATGAATTTAAAGCAATAAAACTCTTTTAATTTATTTAAAACTTTTTATTTGATTTATTTTTATTTTTATTTTTTATTATACTTAATATTTTTATTTTATTTCTTTGTTAATTTAACTTATTTTCATTTTCAAATTTTTATTACTATTAATTGATTCTTTTATATTATTTCATATTTTTTCTATAATTTTTCCTTCTAATATTTAAAAAGTGACAATTAACTTGGTGCAAAGGGTGCATCAGTTTTAGGTTCTGCATTAGCAAACTGTACTAATCTCTCAAATTTAGCACTTAATCTTGAGTAATACCAGTTTATTTTTTTTGGATAATGATATTTTTTTAAATAACATTAATTTAAAATAATAGAACTCTTTTATTTTATTTTTTTAATTTTTTTATTTTATCCTTCTTTTTTATTTTTTCTTTGTTAATTTAACTCATTTTTTTTTTCTCAACTTTGACTTTAATTATTAATTTATTCATTTCACATTATTTCATATCATTTCTTCATTTTTTCCTTATAACTAATTAAAATAATTATAACTTTTCTTCAATATAAAAAAGTTACAATTAAATTAGAGATGAAGGTGCTTCTGTTTTATGTTCAGGTTTAGCAAATTGCACTAATCTCTCAAATTTGAAACTTAATCTAAGGTAAAAACAGTTTATTTGTTTTTATATTGATATTTTAAAATATAAAAATAAATTTAAAACAATAAAACTCTTTAAATTAATTTATTTATAAGCTTTTTATTGAATTTTTTTTATATTCTGTTTTGATTTTCTTCTTCCTTCTTTGTTAATTTAACTATTTTTTTTATTTCTATTTTTTATTTTGTTATTTATTAATTTTTTTCTTATTATTTCTTCATTTTTTCCTTTCTTTACTAACCAATTAATAAAACTTTTTTCTTCAATATTTAAAAAGTAATAATTAAATTGGCTAAATTGGTGCATCAGGCTTAGGTTTAGCTTTAGCAAATTGCATTAATCTCTCAAATTTGACACTTAATCTTAGGTAAAAATAGTTTATTTATTGTTGGATTTTGATATTTTTAAAATTCTTTTTATCTATTTATTTATTATTCTTTTTTTAATAATGATATGGCTTTTTATCTTCTTTTTTTTGTTAATTTGATTCATTTTTAATTTTAATTTCTGCTTTTGTTATTAATTTATTCATTTCGTATTATTTCATATTTTTAATTCATTTTTTCCAATAACTAACTAATTAATTAAACATTTTTTTCTTTAATACTTAAAAAGTGACAATCAACTTGGCTCGAAAGGTGCATCAGGCTTAGGTTGTCCTTTATCAAACTGTGCTAATCTCTAAAATTTGGCATTTATTCTTCTGTAAAAACAGTTTATCTGTTTTTGATTGCAGATATCTTTTAATATAAATATGAATTTAAAACAATATCATTTTTATAATTTATAAATTAGCTTTTTATTTAATTTATTTTTTTTTATTTTTGTTCTTATGTTTTTATTTTATTTTTTTTCTTTGTTAAGTTAATTCATTTTTTCATTTTCTAATTTAATTTTTATTATTAGTTATTTTATTTCTTATTATTTCATATTTTCTTCATTTTTTCCTATCCACTAACTAATTATTTTAATTTTTTTTTTATTAATATTAAAAAAGCGGCAATTAAATTGGCGATGAAGGCGCATCAGTATTATGTTCTAGTTTAGCAAATTGCACATATCTCTCAAATTTGACACTTAATCTTCGGTAAAAACAGTTTATTTATTTTTGGTTGTGAAATTTTTTAATATAAAAATGAACTTAAAACAATATAACTTTTTTAGTTTATTTATTAGCTATTTTTTTATTTATCTTTCTTATATTTTTTCTGATTGTGGTTTTTTTCTTCATTCTAAATTTAAATCATCCTTTTATTTTCTTAATTTTTTAATATTTCATATTTTTTTTTCTAACAACTAACTAACTAATTAATTAATTACATATTTTTTCTATATTATTTAAAAAGTGAAAACCAAATTGGTGATACTGGTGCATCAGGTTTAGGTTTTAATTTATCATTTTGCACAAATCTCTCAAATTTGACTCTTGATCTTCGGTAAAAATAATTTATTTGTTTTGGGTTGTATAAAAACCAATTTAAAACAAAATAACTTTTTAATTTATTTATTAGCTTTTATTTGATTCATTTTTCTTTTTTAATATTCTGCTTATTGTTTTTTTTTCTTTTATGTTTGTTAATTTAACTCATTTTTTCATCTTTTTCTGTTTTTATTAATTTCTTAATTTCTTATTATTTCATAATTTTCCTACATTTTTTCTATCTATCTATATAAATAATTAAAAAGTGACAATTAAATTGGTGCAACTGGTACATCAGCTTTAAGTTCTTGTTTATAGAATTTTACTTATCTCTCAAATTTTATACTTGATCTTCGGTAAAAAAGTTTATTTGTTTTGGATTGTGAATTTTTAATAATAAAAATGAATTTAAGATAGTATTATTATTTGATTTATTTTTTAGCTATTTTTTTCTTTTTTTCATTATGTTTTTTTTTTTCTTCTTTCTTTGTTTATTCAACTTATTTTTTTATTTTAAACTTTTTGTTTACATTATTAATTAATTTATTATTTCATATTTTTTCTTTGTTTTTTTTTGTAATTAATTAATGAATTATATATTTTTTCTTGAATATTTAAAAAGAGACAATTAAATTTGTGAAATTGGTGCATCAGGCTTAGGTTCTGCTTTAGCAAATTGTACTAATCTTTAGAATTTAAAACTTGATTTTCGGTAAAAACAAACAGTTTATTTGTATATTTTGGATTTTGAAATTTTTTAATTTAATTTATTTATTATTTCATATTTTTTTTTTCTTCATTTTTTCTAATAATTAACTACTTAATTACATTTTTTTCTTCAATGTTTAAAAAAAAGTTACAATTAAATTGGTTAAATTGGTGCATAAGGCTTATGTTCTCCTTTGATAAATTGCACTAATCTTTCAAATTTGACACTTGATCTTCGGTATAAGCAGATTATTATATTGTGATATTTTTTAATATAAAAATGATTTAAAACAATAAAACTCTTTTGATTTAATTATTAGTTTTTCATTTTATTAATTTTCCTTTTTTTAATTTTGCTTGTATTTTATTTATTTCTTTTTTATTTGTTAAATTAACCTATTTTTTCATTTAAAATGTTTGCTTTTATTATTAATTAATTAATTCATTTATTTATTATTATTTCATATTTTTTTATTCATTTTTTTCTTAAATATTTTAAAAGTTGCAATAAAATTGGTGAAATTGGTGCATCAGGATTAGGTAATGCTTTAGCAAAATGCACTAATCTATCAAATTTGAAACTAAATCTTAGGTAAAAACAGTTTATTAGTTTTAAGTTGTGATATTATTTTATTTAAAAACACATTTAAAATAATATAACTCTATTAATTTATTTATTAGCTTTTTATTTAATTTATTTTTCTATTTTTTAATAATATTGTGTTTTTTTTCTTGTTTCTTAGTTAATTTAATTCATTTTTTCAAATTCTAATTTTTTTATTATTATTAATAAATTAATTCATTTCTTATTATTTCATATTTTTTCTTCATTTTTTCCTTCTAATTAACAAATTAAATATATTTTTTTCCCCTTCAATATTTAAAAAGTGACAATCAATTTGGTATAATTGGTGCAATAGGTTTAGGTTCTGCTATAGCAAATTGCATTAATATCTTAAATTTGAAACTTTATCTTAGGTAAAAACAATTATTTGTTTTAAATTGTGTTTTAATACAAAAATGAATTTTAAACAATACATCTCTTTGATTTTTTATTTACTTAAATTTTTTTTTATTATTCTACTTGTTTTTTTACTTTTTTTTTTTGTTAATTTAACTCATTTATTTTCAATTACAACTTTTGCTAATATTATTAATTAATTAATTTATTTATTTCATCATTTTTCCCTTCTAAATAACAAACATATTAATTTTTATTTTTAATTGAATGTTTAAAAAGTTACAATTAAATTGGAAATGAAGGTGCATCAGGTTTAGGCTTATCTTTAGCAAATTGCACTAATCTCTCAAATTTGAAACTCGATCTTAGGTAAAAACTGTTTTTTTTATTGGATTGGGATTTAAAGAATTTAAAAGAATAAAATTTAATTTATTAATTATCTTTTTATTTTAAATATTTTTCTTTTTTTATTAGTTTTGTGTTTTCTTTTCTTATTTCTTTGATAATTTAACTCATTTTTTAATTTAAATATTTGCTTTTATTATTAATTAATTTATTTCCTTCTTATTATATTTTATTTTTTCTTCATGTTTCCTAACAACTAACTAACAAATTAATTTTAGATTTTTACTTCAATATTTAAAAAGTTTTAATTAAATTGGTGATGATGGTGTGTCAGGCTTAGGCTTTGCTTTAACAAATAGGACAAATCTCTCAAATCTGTCATTTAATCTTCGGTAAAAAACAGTTTATTTGCTATAGATTGTGATATTTTTTAATATAAAAACGAATTTAAAACAATAAAACTCTTTTAATTTATTTACTAGCTTTTTATGTGATTGTTTGTATTCAACTTGTTTTTTTTTTATTTATTTATTAACTTAAGTCTTTTTTCATTTTGAAATTTTGTTTTATAGTTAATTTTTTCATTTATTTTTATTTCAAATTTTTTCTTCATTTTTTCTTTCTAAATAGATAATTAATTTTATATTTTTTCTTCAAAAGTTATAATGAAATTGGCTCGATTGGTGCATCAGGCTTGGGTCTTGCTATAGCTAATTGCATTAATCTTTCAAATTTGACAATCGATTTTCGGTAAAACAGTTAGTTTAATTGATTAGATTGTGATATTTTTAATATAAAAATGAATTTCAAACAATAAGTTTTTTTAAATTTGATTTATTTTTCTTATTACTTTTGTTTTTTTTCTTTCTTTCTTTGTTTATTTAACCCTATTTTATATTTTATATTTTCAATTTTTGATTTTATTTTCAATTAATTCTTTATTTATTATTTCATATTTTTTTTCATTTTTCCTAAAAGCAAACTAATTAATTTTACATTTTTCTTCAATATTTTAAAAGTGACAATAAATTTGATGCAATTGGTGCATCAGGCTTAGTCTCTGGACTATCAAATTGCACTAACCTCTAAAATTTGACACTTGATCTTTAGTAAATTAACTTATTTTTTAAATAATGATATTTTTTAATATTAAAATGAATTTAAAATTAAAAAGCTCTTTTAGTTTATTTAAATGATAGATTTTTATTTCATTTCTTTTTCTTTTTTATATTTTACTATTGTTTTTTTATTTATTTATTTATTTATTTATTTATTGATTTAATTAATTAATATATAATTATTAATTTGAAAATTTTTCTATTTAATTATTTTTAGTAATTTGCATTAATTTATTTTAAAGTGGAAAAGAAATCAATAAACAACAATAATTGAAAGTAGAAAACAAGTGTCTAAAATTAAAAAGATTAGTTATCCTTAAAATATATTTCTAATGATCATAAACAAACATGTGGTGTAAAAACCAAGAATAATTATAAAAATATTTGAAAAATAGAATTTAATATGTTTTATAATTAGTATTTTGTTATCGAAAAATTCAACTTAAAATATAGAAAGATTTATTATTATTTATAAAAAAAGTCAGGTCAGCCCTCTATTTTACCAAAAAAAATCAATACTTTTAATAATCGCTTGTATCTTACTATATCTTATTAAGTATAAATTAGTGTATTAATAATTGAAATTAACATTTTTTAAATTAAATTAAAAGTGAAATAGAAATTACATTATTAATAAAATATTTAAAACATTTTAAATATTTAGATAATAAATGTGTAATGGATAATATTAGAATTATTCATTCTATTTCGCTATTCTTATAAATTAAATAAAAATTTAAATTTATGTTTAAGTATTAAAAATTAGCATATTTTTTACCTTGATATAAATAAAATGATCATTTAATTAATTTTTTTCCAAAAATCTTATCAAATCTAATGAATATAAAAACTAAAGATAAAAATGATGCGTTTGAATTATATTTATTATAAATAAAATACATATATAATTAGGTAGCTAAAGAAAGAATCATAAAAATATAATTTTATTCATAAAAACATAACAAAAAAATATTTATTCTTTTTTATATACTTTGATTTTATCAAATATTTTTGATTTAAGTTAAAAGTCAGGATACAAATTAAATTATTTTTTTTTTTATATTAAATTAGATTAATTGACGGACAAACAAACGAAATTTGAATATATAAAATATAAAATGAAATTCAAAATAAATTAGTTTATTTTAGGATATTTTGAAATAATAAATTTCAAATGTATTATTTATTTAGTTATTATAGTTAGATTGAATGATTGGTGAATGAATGAATGAAGGATGGATGGATGGATGTAAAAAGGGAGTGACTTAGGTTAAAGTTAAATGATGAAAGTATATAAAGTAGTTGGAAATGAAAATTAGTTTTTTTATTATTCGTTAACGAAGCTATCTAGCTAATTAGCTAATTGACCATATGTTTGTTTAATTGTTTGTTAGTCTTTTGCCTTAACTAAAACTCGAATGAGTTAGTCGAAAATTCGTTAATGAAGGTTTAATAAATTATTAATTAAGTAAGTAAGTGTGGTATTATTTTTTTATTAAAATAGAAAACTATTAATTGCGCTTATTATAATGAATGTCTTAAATTTAAATCAAATCTAAAATGCTTTTGAGTAGGTAAGTAGATGAATAGATTAATCATTCAAAATCTAAGATCCTGAAAACAAATTAATAGTTTTTTGGTTTCTTAATTTATTTATTTATTCTCTTAGCTTAATATAATAAAATATTTTCTTCATTCCAAAGTTCTTTTCGAAAAAGAAATTTTGATTGGTCTTTAATTTATAAAAAATTAAGTTAGTTAATTTATTAAAGAAATAAATTTTAAAAAAACAAATATTATTAAAAATGAATTTTTATTTTACCTATCAGAAATCATTTTATTGTGAACATTAGCTAAAACCCACATAGCTATTGATACTGTTTCAAATTTGACTAAACACATATTTTTGTTATTTTTTTCAAGCATGAATCTATTTATTTTATTTAATAAAGTTTTTTATTTGAAGAATTAAAATTAAATTTATTTTATTTAAATATTTTTTATGAAATTCAATTTGGAATAAATTAAAAAAGAATTTTTACTTTATTTTTTTAATTTGACCATAAGGCTCTGTAATTTTTTTTATTGTTTCGAAGTTGCAATCGTTAATTCTAATATTAGATATGTGTAAAGTATCAATAGGAGTATTTATAATGGCCTGAGCGTCACTTTTAAATCTATTTAATTTCTCATTAGGTTCAAAGTATTCTTCGTCTTCTGGCTTTTCTTCTGCTTCTTTGAAGAAAATATTTTCATATCTTGAATAAAATATTTTTATAATGTTGCCATTAAAAGTTGTATCGCTCAACAAATCTTTAGCTTAACAAGCAAAGTCAACAGTAGAGTATTCGATCAAAACAGCTGATTTTGATTTCATGAAAATCATCTTAACAATATTGCCAAATGCGCTGAACAAGTTAAAAATTTACTACATTGTAGTTTTAGAAGAGTCAAATCTATTAACATAGATTACTTTTGACTTCTTTATCACTATATTCATAAAATAAAAATTAATTAATATGAGAAAATGAAGCTAATATTTTTATAAATTGGATTAAGCTCTTTGAAATATATTTTAAATAGTATTTTTATAGTCGAAGGTTCTAAATTTTAGATAACTAATTTGAGAGAGGCTTTTTAAACTTTTGTATTATGCGATTTTTAAATTTTAATGGTTTTTTTTTAATTCGCAACAAATTAGATTTTACTTACCTTAAAATTCTTTAATAATTTTTGGTAAGTGAATTACAAGTAACAATAATTACTTACAATAAACTTTTTTGATAAAAGTTTGTATTTTTTGAAAAATATTTTCTTAATTCAGTAATAACAACAATTTTATTTTAAAAAAAGAATATTTTTAATGTAAATTTTACTTTAAGAGAACTGTGGATGAACATATTGAGATATATCTGTTTTTTCATCAACATTTTCATATATATCACTTTGTAAACTATTTGAGGATTTTTAAAAGCAAAGGTCGTTTGGAGCAGAATTGGTTAAGTTATGTCCTTGCTTTTAGAAGCTTTAGCCTTAATTACGGCTAGTAGTGCTACAAACAGCCTTTTTACCGAAATTTAATGAGTTATCAGAATGAATGGAGTTATTTTTTATGTTGCTATTACTAATTGATGTGTGATATTTGCCATTTTACTCCTCACTCACATTTGAATAAACAGATTGAGCTAGATTTAAATCATCTAATTCTGTGTGCACAGATGATTCATTAGCCATATGAGAGTAGTTGCTTTAATCATTCACCTCTTCTTATGAAAAAGAATTATGAAGTGAATTTTTTTAGCTGTTATAGTTTGTAGGTTTAAAATTATAATTATTGCTATTAGCGTTGTTATTATTAAAATTCTTAATTCCCTTTACTTTAGAATTATTTCCTGAATTAAATGTTGCGTTTGAAGATTAGCTAGAATGGTATGAAATAGTAACTTCTTAATTATCACTTGAAATCAGCTATTTTTAAGGTGAATTGCCATCTTCAATAATATCATCTACTTTGAGAAGCTATTCAAACAAGGCTTCTGCTTCATTGTTGATTTGTCTTTCCAAGATCTTTTACTTGAGAATTGTATAATCTTTTTAAATAATTTGAATTCGTTAAGAAAGCTAAATAAAGACAATTAATTTAGGAGCTAGCTAACTCATTACAAAATGTTTGTTTTGCCAAAAAATATATTTGCATAACTGTAAAATATCTTTTATGAATAAAAAATAAATTGCTTTAACCAGAAAATTTTCTTATTATAAGAATAGCCTTTTATTGATTTGTTAAATAAATTTGATTGATGGAAACAAACAGCTTTTTAATTTTACTTAGAACTTAAAAATTATTTATTTATTTTTCTATAAAGTCCTTGTTAATTGTAAAAATATTGAAAGAATTTTGTAATTTTATTTACTCATGGTAAAATTTTCCTTCAAAAAACTAGTAATTTTATGGTTATTGGTAAATTTTAATGACATTAAAACATTTTTTCAAATAATTTTGCAATCAACGAATACTTTTCTAAAAAATAGCCTTATGGCTTTCTTCAATCATAAATTGAGATTCTAAATAACTAAAAATCTGAAGTATTTCTCAAATATTTTGGTTGTGGAATATGTCGAAGCAATTCACTGAAACGATTTTTACTCTCTCGAAAAAAAAAAATGTGTAATAGGTTGTTTTGAATTTGTTAATTGTGTTCGTTCTCTTAATAATCAAAAACCAATTAAATGAAAAAAAATTAATCAAATTATTAAAAATTGGCTTTAAATTAATTTATTGAATTAGCTGGCTAGCAATCATCAATTTTAAGAAGATATTATTTATTAAGCTGAGTGCTGCTGGTTATGAATTGATCAATATATAATCATTTCATTCATTCATTCATGATGAGTTTATAATATAAATAGAATTAAATTAATATTTTTACCTATGCCAGAAACATTTTTTTCTTAAAATTCAATTCTTTCTTTTGTTGAAGGCAAAATTACGAATTTAGTTCCATCGGGTAATATCTAAAAGTTATTTAATTTTTATCTTGCATTACGCGCATTTTCAACAGTATCCATTTCTATAAAAGTAGCCCATGGTGATATTTTTTGGAAAATCAAGATCTAAATTTAGAATTTATATTAAAAACTGAGGATATATTTTTTAAAGAAAAAATATTTTATTTTTACTGCTTGCGGTTAAGCAGAAATAAAACTAAATTCTTTGAAATTCAAAGGAGATTATATATTTTATAAACTGAATTACTCTTTGGACTTCTCCATAATTAGAAAAGGCTTGGTAGTAAACATTATGTTACAAAACAGTGTTATTAACGTTATTAACAAGAGTTACAAGGAGCACTCGGGTCTCCTTTGGTTTTGATTATTTTAATTCATTGATTTAATCTGAAACTGATATCCTGGAGCTAAGAGAAACCTTCTGCTCAGTCATTTCATCTTTTGTAGATTAGTTGATATTCATATTAAATTGAAGATAAATTTCTATGCTTATTGTTTCTTAAATGATTATTATCAATTTAATTAGTCTTTGTTTTTTGCAGCAATTAATTAATTATAATGATTTTTCATTGCTATTTTCCATTCATAAATTAATAAGAAATCATGCAGAATTTAACAAAACCAATCTGCAATTTGTAAAAATTAGATGAATTAAAAAATTAGTAATAATAGCTATATTTTACATGACAAAAGAGATAATTTATTAGTTAGTTAGCTAGCTAATTAAATAAATATATAATTACTAATTCTAGAGAAAGCCAATCCACACAAAGAGAAGCAAACACTATACAAAAAACATAATAAATAAATGTATCAATCATCTATCAAAAATCAATTAAATTATAAACTGAAAGAACCCTTATTACAAATATATTTACATATTTTAGCAATAATCTAATTTTAAGCATCTATCAGTTCATATAAAACGTAAAATAAATAATAAAAATTTAAAAGCTTTCTATGTGAGTCAACAATATCCATCTTTTATGTTATCATAAGACTATTTTGTTGCAAGATTAATATAATAGCATTATCAAAATATAATAATTTTTTAATTTTCTACTTTTAGAAAAATCTAATAATTACTAAGAAATTTAATCAATCAATTTATATCCAATTAAAAAAACAGTTTGAAAGTTCATTTAATTCCTTACAAATCTTCCAAAAAAATTAGTAAAAATTTTTTTTTGATTTTATCAAAGAGGTTACTGGTTTTTATTCTTAATTAATTTATTTATCTTGTTTGTTTGTTTGTTGCTTAATAATTAGTTTTCACTTTTATAGAAAAATATTTAACAAATTAAGTGCTAAATAAAAAAAATTATAATAATGATAATTCAATTATAAAATTATAGAATAGAATAAAATGACATAATAAAATTGTAATAGTAGAAATCAAAATAACAAATAAATATTTTTATTTTAGAGAGCCAAAAAACTATACTATAAATACAACATCAATAATTACTAGTATATTAACTGCTCCATGGTAAATTGATAGTGTAATTTTTTTTATTTACATTTCCAAAAGGGACAAATATTTTATTTTAATTAGTTTGATTTATGTTTTGCCTGTCTTCCCAAAAATCTAATTCTTCGTCTAAATTTTAGAGAACCTTAATTTTAATAATAAGTTAATAGTCTTAATTATAAGTAATGTAATTTAAAAACTATTCAAGTACATACATACAATGTGAATTATGTGTATATATTTTTTTGTAAGATTTCATAATATAATTTCTTTGACTGTAATTAAATAATCAAATTAGCTTTTTTAAACAAATTCGGAAATTCTTTTTCCCTCATTTAGAAAAAAACTTTAATTTTAAAAAATTTGTCATATCTTATTTAAATAGATAGGACGGTCCACAAAAAAATAGTTAAACTATTAGTAAAAACTTGTAACAAATAATTTAAATTTTGATTTGCTGAAATAAATTAAAAAATGTGTAATAGCTTTCAGTTAAAGAAAGTTTGATGTTAATTACCTGAATAGTATCTGGGTTTTAGGAGGCACTCATAATATTCAAGTCTTTCTTTTTATACTATTTTGCAGAGCTTAGAAGCATTCTTTTATGAAAGGATGTGAATGATTGGGTTTTGGCTAATGAATTGCTTTGTGGTCTACTATTAGCATTAGTAGATATCGTGTTTCCAAAAAATTTACTACTTGTTGCATTTGATGTTGCTGATTTCAATCCTTACCTCATTTAATTGATATTATTAGATGTTTGTTTTACAGCAGTTTAGGGACGCAATTTTTGATTAGAAGCTATTGGAAATTTATTTAAAGCAGAAGATGGTCTTAATGAATTAAAATTAATTGCTGTATTGGCAAACTGTTTCTCTTCAATTTTTATTTAGCTTTGATAATTGAGATCTTTATTCATTTGACGATGTAGATTAACTTCTTATTTGACTTGTGTGATAAATGCTGACTGAGGACGATGCATTTATTTCTTTTAGTAAGTCGAACTTTGCTAAACTAGTTCAATTTTGCTTAACTTCTTGTCTTGTATGTTTACTGGAATTTGTTAATTTTACTATCTCTCACTTTCTAATTCATAATCAGACTCCTCTGTCTCTCCTTATGCATCTAATTATATTTATTAATTAATTAGTTTAAAAAATTTATAAACATTAGAACCATTATGAGAACCATTTATTTACTGATTTTAAATCATGTAAATTTACATTTGAAAAAATGGCAATTTACATTTATAAATAAAAAAAAGTGTATTATTTATTGATTGATTTTGTAGATTTGATTTATATTTAAAATTTACCTTAGTAAAGTCTACCATTAATTTTTGCTTGGTTTATCAATTAGTTTGCATTTCTTAATCTTATTTTAATTTCTTCATATAATTCTTGATCTCTAAGCATCTTTCTGAATTCTTGCTAGAAGTTATCATCACTTTTCATAATTTAGTCCATTTTATTCTTTCTCTTTTATTAATAATATTCATCCTTTTTCTGAAGAGTTCTCCCATCAAATATCATCTTCTCCATATTATATTGATATTTCATGTAATTTTATATTTTCTCGTCTGGATTCTTTTATGTTGAAGCCTAAGCAGCTTCGATCTTGAAAATTCCGAACTAAATTGTGAAAATAAAACGAAATTATTTTAATTGTTTTAAATAAATAAATTACCTTATCCCTTTCTATATCCATTTATATCTTAGGAATTTTTTCTATCTTTTATAATATAATAATAATAAAATTTTTACTTTCATACTAAAAAAAACGATATATTTACATATTCATGTCTATTAATAGTGTTACAGACTAAATAAAGAAATTCATGGACTTAAATAACTCCTTTGTATTGTATTATGTCATTACATCTCTTAATCCACTCTTTCAAAATATCGTTGCTTATCGTCTTGTTTATTTTCTATAACATAAATGCTTTTTAATTTCCTTATTTTTCACTGAAAGCAAAAAAAGTAAGTTATAATTTTATAAATTTCTTTGCACTTTTTGTATATTTTAATAATATATTTTATGTACCCAAAGTAGACCAGTTATGACTTCTTCGTTTAAGGGCAATCCAATAGTTTAGTGTTCCATTTCCTTTAAGACAAATATAAGCATCGCATCTCTAATTTCATTCAACCTTATAGATAATAAATTACTCGTTAGTAATTTCGCTGAATTTTTTAAATACTAAATTGATAAATCTAATAAATTACTTAAGTAGATTTCTAATGAAAATGATGATGCTAGCTTCAATAATTTTAACAGATTATGACGTGTACATGTTATTTAAAAACTTTATATTTAAATAAACAAATTGATTCTTCTACTTAATGCAAGCATATGATTTATTTATTTATTATAAAGTTATATAATTACACGAGGTGTTCTTTCTATAAACTTAGCTGATCTAATAATTTAAAAAACATGCTATGCATCTAATTTTTGAGTTGGCTGAATTGGCTCATCCTCATTATAATTTGTTTCATATATTTCCTTTATCGCCTTATACATAGGTTATACCTTTTTATAAATAATTTTTTTTATTAGCTGAGATTCTAGTTTAGATTAGACTGAAATAGCCAATCTGCTTGCTTATTACCTCTAAATATTAGCAACATAATGCCCTATTAAATCAGTAAAAATAATTATAATAATCAACAAAGATTCAAATGATTAAATAATCTTTTATCCTTACAAAAATGTAAGTAAGTATTTATGTTTGTAGTTTGATAGATAGATCAAGTTAATTACTCAAGATCTTAAAGCTTAATGTAGCCCTAAAACTCTTTAGGATTTTAAATGCCATAAACTGTGAAATCTTCTCTATCCATAATATCTAAAAATCAATCAATATTTCCTAACACTTTGAATCAATTTAATAATAAATATCTACTCTTCTTTTTAATTAGTATTTAAGTATTAATTAATTAACTAAATAAATAAATAAATCATTCTTTTTAATTTTTAATATGCTAATTCCTATTCTAATAATTGATTTTTTTCAATTTGCTTTTCTCATAAAAAACTGTCTTTTTTCATTTTATCAAACTGAAACTATTATGCGCACACTAACAAAATAATTAGTTATTTAGTTATTAAGTTGGTTGTTTCATATCAATCCTTTGTATTTTTTAAATTCTGACTGGCTTTGTTGCTAAACAATTATTACTTTTACTGAATTTTCTATATAAAAAAGCACATTTACTTTATGCAAAATATTTTAAGTAATTTTATATATTTTTTATCATTTAAAAAATAATAATTTAAAAATATTCTCTTAATTTAAATTACTGACTGGATGAAATTAATTTTAAATCGTTTCAATATAACATCTTTATGTGAAAAATAATAGTTTTTTTCATTAAATATTAACTAATTTCTATAAAAATAAATTGAAGTTAATTCTAAACTTTTAAAATAAATGAATCAAAATATTTTTTAGGGAGATTATATTCCATTCATTTATGAGTGAGATATTTATTTTCCAAAAATTACAGATAATTTTCATGTTTTTTCAAAGTCACTAATTAATTTTACTTACTTACTTACCTTCTCTCCTCCAAAAAAAACTATGAAAATATTTGTTAAATTCAATAAACTTCTTTTATTTAAGAACCAAAATAATAACTTATCGTCATTTTAAATAATAACAATAGTAATAATGCTATTACAATCATTGATCATAATTTGTATTAAATAACAATCTTGAAAATTAAAGCGAATCAAAAGAATACTACAAAAAGTTTTAGATATAATTAGTCATGTATATGTAAATTTATAAATAAGATGAAAAAATAGGATTTGATAATGTTATTATTTTGATTTTTGAAGCAAATTGAAACAAATTTATTTTTATGATTTTTAAAATAGATTTTATAGTGAATACTATTTATTTATTATTTATTTTTTATGTAGTGAATTTTTTTAAGTTTTATCTGGTTGACTTTTAATAGCAATAATAAAAATTAACATATTAATATTTATATATTAATAAACTAAATATTGTATTATCAATCTAAAATTTTAGTAGAAATGCCTTCTAATTCAAATATTAGTTTTACTGCATCATAAAAATCGTTGACTACGTATTTTGCAGGATCTTAATCATCATTACCTTCTCCTTAGAAAACTCCTGTTCTGACTAGAATAGAAGTCCATCCAATTTTGTTAGCACCTTAAATATCACTTTAAGGATTATCACCTATCATGTAATAGTTAGTAACTTCATGGTTCTTATCAATATGAGACAAGGTGTAGTCCCTTGCAAACTCAAACTGCTTTAATTAAGGTTTTCCATAAAACTCTAAGTTAATTTCTGTTTTATAAATAGTTTTGTATATTTCTTTGATAGCTGCAGTGAAACATCCATTTACAATTCTTGGCAATTAGAAGTCAGATTTGTAAGTTGTATCATTATAAGCAACATAAACAGGAATATGTTTTTCAGGACCAATAGCAGGCATTTATTAGGCAATTTTACCATCTTCAGTAGATAGCAAATCTAAAATCAATTATGTGGATTCTTCCCAGTTGAATGGCATTGATAGAATAAAAATAGCATGGATTTAGAAAGGTTCATGGAAATCATCATCTGTCAACTTAAAATTAAGAATATATAAATATTAAAAACAAAAAAAATCTTAATATTTAATTAATTAATTTTGGAATTTAGATCAAATATCTATTTGATTGATGAAGCATTTAGATTTAACAAATTCCGATATCAAAAAAGTAAAAGTATATTAAATGGATAACTTTGATGAAATAAGAGAAAATAAAAATGAATAAATGCTTTTTTTTTATACTATAAATGAATTATTGAATTAAAGTATTTCAATTTTTAAATTGAACTTCAACAACTTAAAAAAATTGAATATGATTTTAATTCTACTAAATAATTTGGTATCTATCTCATAAATTAAAAATGGATAATAAATTACATTTAATCTTTTCTTCACTTTTTCTTTTGTTTCTGCTTTGAATTCTTAGCTGAATGAATTAAAAGGACATAAGAAAGGGAAGCAGCAGATATATTCGTTTCCAGTGATATATTTTTGAGAACCACAATACTCTGCTACTTCTTCTATTGCTCCTGTGCCAAGGAGCATGACTAATTTATCTTAAAATGTTCTAAACTTAGGAGCTAATGCTGAATGGTTTAATATATTTTCATGTTCTTAAAATGCAAACTTTGAATTTTATTCTTAATCAAATCCCATGGCTTTATTCATCATGATACAATGTTATTTTTCAGTCATAGCACCTCTATTTGTCAATAAGAAAAATGGAATCTTTTCTTGATCATTTTCTCCGAATCTATTTGCATCAATTTCTCCTAATAAAGATCTAACAGCTTTCAAAGCCTTCAAAACCTTATCACTGATACATTTATTAAAACCCTATTTTAAAACACCATCTATGTCAGAAACTATGACAGGAACTTTCTTTTTTTAATTATTATTCATTTATTTTTAAAGATTTTTACAAAAACAAAATTATATTATTGCAATCAAATAATTCAATATCTTTTAGGTATGTATTTAATCTTAATAGTAATAAAAAAGTGCTTTGTAAAGTTTCTATTTTAACTTGACATTAAATCATTCAAATATTTATTTAATAATATATCATTTGCTTTTTATAGATTTTTTTGGAATATTTCTAGATTTGTAATTACTCATCAAATAAAATTCTAATTGTATTTTTTTAAATAAAAAAGTGTTTCTCTTAAATAAATAGCAAACATATTACTTACATAAGCTTTCTTTTAATAATTAAATGTTCTTATAAATATATTAAATAATTAATTTTTCAATTTTGTTTATTAATATCTCATAATAAAAACCAACCATATTTTTCAAAATCTATTGAGAAAGAAAAAATATAAATTTAAAGAATTAATTATAAATGAATAATTTTCCAATTTATTTACAAATCTGTTTAAAATAAATAAATAAACAAACAAACAAAATATTTGATTTTATCAATATGTTTTTAATAATATATCATTTGCTTTTTATAGATTTTTTTGGAATATTTCTAGATTTGTGATTACTTATCAAATAAATTCTAATTTTATTTTTTTAAATAAATAGCAAACACTTTACTTACATAAGCTTTCTTTTAATAATTAAATGTTCTTCTTATAAATATATTAAATAACAATTTTGTTTATTATTATCTCATAATAAAAACCAACTATTTTTTCAAAATCTATTGAGAAAGAAAAAATATAAATTGAAAGAATTAATTATAAATGAATAAAATTTCCTATTTATTTACAAATCTATTTAAAATAAATAAACAAACATACAAAATATTTGCTTTTATCCAACTAAAAAATAAATTTGTTAAATTTAAAATTTATTAATTTTTTTTCATCATAAAAGATAGATATAAAAGTAATTTGAAAATAATTTTCAAAACTTATTTTAAATTTTAGAGGAGAGGGAGACATTAATTACATTTTACAATAAAATCTTTTGAATTTCTAAAATATATTTATTATGCTTATATTCATTTTGATAAATAACATATATCAACTTATTCTTACTTTAAACTCATATATAAAAAAATTAAGTAAATTTGAATAAGTTTTATCATTTAAGATAACTTATAAACAACAAATAAATGTAAAGAAAAAATAGATTATTTTGATTTTAATGCAATTTATATATTAAAAATAAAAAATGGATTTTAGAGCAAATTATCAACTCAACTCTATAAAGTATTTAGTTTTTCTTAGCCAAATTCTTTAATAATGAAATTTTTAATAGATTATTCGTTTATTTATAATTTGTTGTTTTGCATTAATCTAATTGTTGAAGCTAAATATCCTGAACTTATATTAAGATTTTTTAATTTAGGTAGATTATGATTAATTTCTATGAAGTCTTTAATCAAATTCTATGAAGCCTCACTTTTAACATAATTCAATCTGCTTACATATTTTTCACCTTCTTTTATTATTTTATATTCTATTGTCTTTGCTTTAGCCATTTTTAAAACGACTATCTATTCTGGGTTAAGCTCTGGTCTACCACAAATGTAAAGCACTTCACCCTCACCTTTCTCCAAAAAGGATGAATTATTCACTTCAACATTTATTTGCTTAAAAAGTTGGTAGAAGTCATTATAGTTATCACATTCAACTGTTTTTTAATATGATCTATATTTCAAATTATACTTTTTAAAAACGATTTCAGCTTCAGGAGGACTAAGACAGATATCTTCTGAATAATTATTAACAATAGAAAAGCAAATCATAATAGGATTTGGGCCATATTTAACATACTGTTTAGCTACACCGCCACAAAGTTCTGCAAGTAATGTTTTATCAGAAAGATAGTTTTGAAGTTCCTCTTTTAGTTCTTTATTTAAGTTTTCCAAGTACTCAAACCATAAGAGAGCCATTGCTTTGATGAAATTAAATTGTTTACCTATTTTTTCTGCTTCATGTTTATGTTTTAATAGAAGCGACTCGTTTTTTGTACATATAACCCAAGCTTAAGCACTTTTGCTAAATGAAATTTGTGAACAAGTGCCATCATCTTTTACAGTTCTATAAATAAACATAGTTGAGAAATCTTAGAATTTTACATGATACTTTTTAAAAATTTGCTTTTTATCTTTTTCTGAAAAATTTTTTTTATTATTTGCTAAGATTTCTTTGATTTTCTCGTTGATAAAATTATGATCCACAAATCTACTAAGCCACACTTTTAATTTACTCTTAGTTAGATCATCAAATTTTTTATGTCCTTTTCTCAAAACCTACTTACTATTATTCTCAAGATCTTCTATAACTGATAAACCTCTTCTAATATTATCGTGAAATTCTTCAGAGCTGAAAAATTTTTTATTTTCGTCTTCTTCTTCACCATTTTCAACATAATAATCCTTAATTTTAATATTATTGTACGATTGCTCATTAACTACAATATCTTTGTCTTAAACTGCAATTTTCTCAACCTTTTCAACTTAATTTTCAGCTAAATTTAATTTATTTTATAGTTATTCTGTTAGATTCTCCATTTTTTTTGTCTTTAGATATTATTAAGTTATTAATTTATTTGATATAAAAAATATATTTCATCTAATTTTTTATTCTTATTATTATGGTTTTAATTTACTTTAATGTGTCTATATAAAAATTATATAGTCTACCGAATTATTCAATACCTTATTTCTACATCTATTTCAAAAGTATCTATTATTCAAACCACACCACATATTTTGCTTCTATTTAGAAAGTCAATTTATTAAATCTTTTATTCTAAATAAATTTTTTTGTGGAAATTGTAACTTTTATTTCATTGATTGAACCTGCTCAAAGAATGCTCAAAAACTATTTATAGTAAAATTTATACATTTTAAAAACCATTTTTTATGAAATGAGCAGTTATGCATAAATAAAAAGAAATAAATAGTATTTTTAAATTGAATTTTTTAATAATAAATAAATATATAGAGAGTTTATGCTTATTGAAAATACTCACTTACTTCATAAGCGTAATAGTTGTATTATAATTTTTACTAAAGAATTGTATAAAATCCTTTCAAAATTTATATAGGTAGCGTCAAAATGATTGCAATATCACAATTTTATTTTTATTTTTTTATTTTAAAAAGTTTTTAGTTATAAAATTTTAGACTAAAATAACAATTTTAAAAAGGTACTACCATAGCAATTAATAATTCTATAATTAATCATTAATTTTTATTTTAATAATTCAATTAATGTTTTAAGTAATTATTATTATTATAATTGTTAAAATATTTTAATAACAATTATTAATTTTCTTTTTTGTATTACATTAATAAGAAATATCTTTTAGGTTATAAAAATAAGTTAGTAAGTAACTCATATTTGTTTATTGAACCTGTTTGTTTCTCATAATAAACATTATTTTTTGTTTATAATAATTACTTTTTACATATAAAATAAAAAAGATTAAATTTATATTGAATGTAAAACAAAAATAAATACATAAATTGCAAAAATGATTAATACATTTATCCAGTTTGAATAGCAGCATTTAGATAAAATACAATAAAAATCTTAATTTTTATAATAAATAAAATGTTATAAAAACAATTCAAAGCTTCGAAAAATATTTTCTTTAAAAGTAATAAATGAAATTAAATAGAAATTTCATCTTTTTACATACATTTTTCTAGATAATAAGGTTTATTATAAATAAAACTTTTAGAAATATATGTTTATTGAATATCGCTCACACGATTGATTAATTGATCAGTCAGTCGATATTCATTCATATCATAAAGAAAAATAAAACTTCCATAAAAAGTAGGATCAAAATTTATCAATTAAAGAAACAAAATAAATATATAAATTATATAAAAAGATAGATAGATAAATGTATAACGACAGCGAAGTTCATCAATAAGATGAGCATTAATAATCTGAATAGGCACAATAATAGCAATAAAGTAAGTAGGTCCAGCAACCAAAACCAACAGCTTAAAATTATTAATAAAATGTTGATGATATTCCATAAGGGGCTGAAGTGATCACTGTGGAAGTTTGCGAAAATTGCTAAGAACATGCATGGTGTACTTAGCATGATGAATCTAAATATCATGGTATATTTTTATAAGTAAAAGCCTAGCTTGAGTCTCATCCAGAGCATAAATTATATGTGCTACGTAATGTCAATCCTTAGAATCTTCGTCAAAAAATATAACCTTAGAGAGGTGCATTTGAAATTAAGCATAATGGAGTTTACATATATTCTAAAATCAAATCGACCTTATTCCCCAATCCCGCAGTAATAAATGAAAGAATCACAAAGTTCTTTTAAGATAAAAAAGAAGGGGGAGACCTCACTAAATATGCTAATTCAGTAGAGAAAAAGCAGTAACCACCTCCTAAAAAAAGAGATATGGCTGCAATTTATGGAACTTACTATGTAGCAATTTAAAATGAGTAGCAGCGCCTTGAAGAACTTCGCTAAGAAGAAGAAAGAAAGAGGATTGAAAGAGAGAGGGAGGAAGAAGAAAGAAGGATTAAGTAGGAAGAAGAAGAAGCTGAAAGATTAAGAAGATAAGAAGAGGAAGAAAGATAGCGCCTAGAGTAAGAAGAGCTTGAAAGACAGTAAAGAGAGCAAGAAGAAGAAGATGAAAGAAGACGTAAAGAAGAAGAGGAACAGCGTGCTCAGTAAGCTTAATACGAATAAGAATAGTAATAATAAGAATAATAATAGCACTAACAATAGGAGCATTAAGATTAAGCTCATCATGAAGGCTAACATCATGACTAGCACCAACAAAACCAACATTGAGCTTTTTAACAAAATATACAAAATCTTAAATTATATTAAATCAATCAATCAATCATACATACATACAGATAAATAGAATGATAAATAAATAAATAAATAGTTAATAAATATAACTCAAATTAGAGAATTTTTCAAAATTGTCCTATATAATAGTAAATAGGTTATTTATTTATTTATTTGTTAAAATATAAAGTAAATATATTGATAAGTTGATAGATAGATAAATAGATTATTGTACATTTTCACACTTTTTTGCTTTATATATTATCACTTAAATTTCTTTATTGTTCATTTATTTATTTATTTGTAGTTTTATTTATTTCAAACTACTAACCTTTCAGGTTTAATTATTCGCTATTTGTCTTTTTATTGCTTTAATGAATTTTTAAAATAATTTTAGGCTGTAATGAAAATTGTTGAGTGGAAAAAAAAATAAAAAATGGTAAATTTATTTTTAAAAAAAGAATAAAAATAGTATATTCTAATGTCATTTCTTATTTATTAAAATATCAAAAGATAAGTAAAGTAATAGTTTATCTTTCTAATTGATTCATAGAAACTACTTTAATGAATATTCTTTATCGATAACCTAATAAATTCATCATATATGATGTCCATATTGAATATCACTCTCATAAAAAAGCTTTGATTTATTCTTCTAATAAAAACTATTATAATTATTTGCTAAATAACACAAGTATATATCTATTTATAAATAAAAAAATATTTCTTTCTTATATATATATAATTTAGTACCCTAGAGTACTGCCTTTTTCAAGGCTACATACTCGAATAATAATAATATTAGATTTTAATTCAATTTTAAGTGCTAAAATATTTGGCTTGAATCCTTAAAATATTTTTTAGATTATATAAATACATCTGAAATAAAATTATTAGATATTTAAATTAGAATTATAAATATTTTTTTGTTACTGAATTTATTTTAGTTTTTAAGCAATTATTAAAACATAATTGATCGTAAAAATCAAATTTTGTCTTTATCAAATTCAAAATATAATTAAAATTCCACAAAAAATCAGGTGAATTTATAAAATATTTAAATAGAAAAAAAACAAACTTTATTCATTAAAAAAAAATAATACATTTTCTATTAAGCGAGTAATTTAGTTAATTAGTATTTTGCTACTCGCTAGTGCAGTTTATTTAAAAATAATAAAATTGAATTTATAATATTTTCAATGGTTTTTTTAGCTTTAATTCAACCAACCAAGCAATCAAACAAACAAGTAAAATATCACTAATTCATTTAATATTAAATGATAAAGTAAATATGAGAAAATTAGAAAAAAAATTAATTATAAAGTTAACTACTCTTAGTTTTATTATAAATAACATCAAATCACTGTTTTTATAAATTTTTGCAAATTAAGTGCAATTTTATAGATTCATCAATATAGTTAAGGAAATCACTAAATATAACAATAAATCAAAAATAGAATTTTAAAATGATTGCTGATGATTTTGAATCGGAGTTTTATGACACTTCCCTCGATAGATTTGAGACCTATGAGTAGTATTTAGATGAACATATCACCGAAGAAGATATGTTTTATTTGGAGGATAGAGAATTGGCACGTTAATTGCGTGAATAAAATAATCATAATGCAAAGGCAGAAATATTAACTAGGGAATAATTTGAGGCTAAAAAGTAAGCTGTTAAGGAGGCAAGAAGCAATTAAAATAAAGATAAAACTAAGAGCTTAGCTCACACTGAAGTGAAAAATAAAGCAGCTTTGGAAAAGGATGAGTTCTTAAAAGCATTAGCTGACAGAGAATAAGATGTATTAAATGGAAAATTGCTTACAATCATTTTTATCAGATTCTAGTCTAAGCATTCTGAAATTAGCGGATATATTGATTATGCTCACAGATTAAAAACTGAAGATTTTAGACCTTACTTTGAAGGAAAGAAAAAATTATTACCTCGCACAACTGACCTCAGTTATTATAATTGGAAAACTAGTATGTGTGTTAGTAATGATTCTCCAAACTTTAAAGTTGATGCTAACAGCTAGCAACAAGCCCTTCTATTCAGAAACAAAAGAGATAGAAAAGTAATTAATGTTGATCCTAAAAAGAAAGAAGAAGACAACACAAAAAGAATAGATAATATTAAATCAGACTACTATAAACAAATAGTTCTTTATGACCACTATACAAGAAGAAAAAATTGAAACGCACATTATCTTTCTATTGTTAATAATATATAGATCTATTTTCTTGCATTAATAAAGCATATAAAAATATAAGAAATTGTTATTTATTACTTTCAAAACATTCTTTTCATGAAACTGCTTTATGAAAGAGGATTTTAAAGCAGAAATAGCTTAATGCATTTATTTAGTATTTTTTTATATAGAAAGCTATTATTAAAATATTTTATCAAAATTTTCATTTTACATTAATTTTAACAATTTCACTTGGAAGGAATAAAATAGTGATTTGTGTAATGAATCTATTTTTAATTTATATAAAGGTGAATCAGCATTTATTTATTCCTTTTAAAAATTTCAATTTTTTAATGCTGATAAATCTAATTCTAATAAGAGACAGACTGTATCAATCATCTTTAAATTCAAATAAATTACTGGTTTTAGCATGAATAATTTAAAAATATTTTTAAATATAATTTAGAAGACAAACAAGTTCAGTTGGTCTATTAATTTCCAAAGTATTGATTGTTTAATTTTTTCTACAAATATAAAGACATAAATGCTTAATTTTACATTATTTATTTATTTATAATCTAGATTTAATATGGATTTTTATTAATTTCCAAAGTATTTAAAAAATATAATTTAATATATAAAATTAATTATATTCACTTTTTATTTCAAATAAGATTTTATTTTGTATAAAAACAAATCCTTAAAATTCATTTGAGTTGTTCAAAATCCTCTTTAAAAAAATCGTATATTTCGGGTATTGATTTATTTGATAATACCACACTATAGTAATCACATATCAATAAAAAAGCTATTAATTTATTATTTATAGTTTTCCATACTAATAAAATAAATTGTAAAGATTAAAAGAACTTCAACCAACAATATTAAAATAGAATTATTTAATATTTAAAAATTAGTTTTATTTATTTAGAAAATTGTTTAAGTTAACTATTTATGGTATTTTTTAGTATTATTTATGTTCATTTTTTGCCTATAAAAGTTATTTCAGAGTAAAGACCATAGTGATCAGAAGGGGTGGTTACTTCATATAAATTACCTGGCTTTTTTGTATTATAAAGGGGAATAGGCTCTTTGCCTATAACTTCTATTTTAGTAGTTTTCCATAAATTAGACTATTTAAGCAAAACTCTGTCAAGTCTTTTCTTTATTTAAGGAAAGGTCACTCCTTAGTCACCAGGATGCAGCTCTAACCAGGTATCTTGATATTAGCTTGGTAGATAAGAGCTTTCATTTTCAGTTTCTAGATTCAAGTCTCCCATAAAAATACTTTCTGGGTATTTTGAAAGCTCATCTTAAATTACTTGTAGCTGATATTTACGGAACTCTTTGTTTTAAGGAAGGCTTTCTAAATGTGTTGTACCAATAGCTAAGTTTACTTCATTTACATTAATCACTCCTACTAATAAATTTCTTCCTTAATTGCTATTGTAATTTCTACAATAAAAAGAAATTGGGTACTTAGATAGAATCAACACATCGTAATTTTAAACAAATGAAGAGGAAAAGTAGTATTTACTGCATAACTCTTTATCTGAGCTTAACAACTATATAAAATATTAAGTAACTTCTTGTAAGCAAATAAAATCTGGATCATGCTTTAAAAATAACTTTCTCAATTCTTAATTCCTCTCAACAAAATTGAACTAATCAAACCATACATTATAAGAAATAAATTTAAGCTTCTATACTCCTTACAGTTTTATTGGTTAAGCATTCACTGGATAATAGCCCTATGGAGCTATTTAACAAGTTTGCTTTTAGATAATTTATTCTTTTTGCAAAGTATTCATTTTTTTATCTTAAAAATTAAATTCAAAAACTATTAATATCTCCTTTAGCTGTTTTTTATATAAAAGTTAGAATATAAATCTTCTAGTTGATATTATAGTAGACAAGTTTTTGTAAGTTTTTGTCAATAATGAATTTTTCTCAATTTTATTTCAGCTATTTCAACTTAAACAAAAAGATATCAATCAATTATCTTGTTCAATTTTCCAAATTATTTATATTCATTCCATATATTTAAAATAAAATTTATATAATATTTAATAGTTGATAAACAATTCTTTTTTTAAACGTGATTACAAATCAATATTTTTAAACCAGAGAGAGATATTTTTAAACAAGCCAATTTATTAATATTTATTTCTATAAGCAAATTAGATAAAAGATATGTAATATTTCATAGTTGATAGCTTATTTACTTTTTTAAAGTTAATACAAATCATTAGTTTTAAATGATAAATAAGAGTAAATAAACAAATTTAACATGATCATGCAATACTTAAAACATATAATATAAAAATCAATTCAATTTTTCATAGTTTATTTATAATTTTTATTTTCATAAATATAAATATTATTAAATAGAAGGTTTAATATATGAAATTTAATAAAAGTAAACTTAAAAAACAAAATCTTAGAATAATCATTTTATTTCTAAAAGCCTACTAACTTTTTAGCAAGGATAAAAGTATCTTTATATTAAAATTTTTAATAAATTGTAAAATTAGTGTCATTTATTTTTTCCTTATTTATTTATTTTAATCATTTTTAAGATTATTTTCAATTATAGAAAGAAAAATAATTCTAAAATAAATATTTTTTTTAGAAAATATTAATAATGATTTAAATTTAAAAGCTCAAATTCAACTTTTTTTGCCTATGAAACTCAATTCTAAATATAACCCATAGTGATCTGATGGAGTTATTATTTCAAAAGGGGCAAACTATTTGCTTTAATAAGAAGGAAGAGGATCTCTGCCTATTAGCTCTATATGTGAAGGTTTCCAATTTTCAGACTATTTTAATATTATTCTGTCAAAACGTATAGAAGGGTACTATTGACTTGCTTGCATTGTATGTCCTTCTTCATTTGGATGTAATGCATGCCAAACATCATAATATCCTTCTGGTATATTTTAATCTTCACTCTTTTTAGCAAAGTTAAAATCACCCATTAATATAGATTCTTAATAGCTTTTAAATTAATCTTCAATTGCAGTTAGCTGGCATAGTCTATAGTCATCATTATAGTCTATACTTTCTAAATGTGTAGTGCCAATTGAAATATCGATATCATTGATTGTGATAACTCCAAATAAAAGATTTCTTCCCATTTCACTAGGGAAATATCTACATTTAAAAGGAATAGGATATTTTGATAGAATTAAAACATCATATGCTTATACTAAACTAGATGAAGAAAAGTAGTATTTATCACATATTTAATCATCAGAGAAAATAAGTTATAAAAAATCTTATGTAACTTCTTGTAAGCAGATAAAATCAGGATCAAACTATAGAAATATCTTTCTTAACTCTATATTCCTTTCTTCGAAATTATGTTTTTCAAACCAAACATTATAAGAGATGAATTTAAGTTTCTCTATACCTGATAAATTGACATCATTACCAACTTTTTGAAACCCATGTTTTGTCTTTTTTACAGTTTGTTTTACTCTTAAATCTTCCAATAATAAATCCATTGTTTGAAATTCAACAATTTATTTTGCTTGAAATTAAAATTTGTTTGAAGATATATAATCTGAAAATTTTTGATATTTAATTAATTTTTGTCTGATAAATTTTCTTTAAAAAATTTTTTGACAGATTTTTTAATTACTTTTTAAGTAATAAAATAATCAAAAATAAGATATGACATTTTACAAAAAAAATTTAGATAGATAATAAATATAATTTTTGTTTTTTAATATTTTATCAATCACCTTTAAATTAGATTTAATACCATTGAAATAATTTTTCTTCTTTGTAATTAAAATAGAACTATATATACTTTTTCACTCAATAAATAATGCACAAAACATAAAAAGAAGAGTTGGACATTTGGTTTCCAATTATATTTATTATCTTCTGAACATTCAATAAAAGTATGAAGTCTTTTTCAATAAAATTTTTACTTGAAGAGTTTTTCACTTGAAACAAATTTAAATTTATCAAATAAAATTTAACTACAAATTAAAATAAATAAAATTATTATTGATAAAATTTCATATATTAAGTAAGACACGAATATAGCGAAATACCTTTCTAAAATCTAGCCATATGGTATCGCTATATTTATTTATTTAATTAAAAATAATTACGTAATTATGTTTATATTGAAATCATTTAGAATTAAAAGATATCTCTGCATAAAGACCATAATGATCTGAAGGAGTAACAATTTCGTATATTTGCTTTTTTTAGTGATTCTAATAATAAGGTATAGGATCTTTGCCTATAATTTCAATATGAGAAGGACTCCAGTAAGTAGATTGCCGTAAAAGGACTCTGTCAAAGCGAACTGAAGGAAATTTTTTACTTGCTTACATCGTATGTCCTTCCTCATTAGGATGAAGTGCTTTCCAAATATCTATATAATTTTCTGGAATGCTTTACTCCTCATTTAATTTTGACATATTAAAATCTCCCATAAAAATACTTTCATCATAGCTTGATAAAAGTTCTTTTATTATTTTTAACTATTCCATTCTATAATTATCATTATTTTTTAAGCTTTCTAAGTGAGTGGTACCTATCACAATTTTTCTATTGTTTATATTAATTTCACCAAATAAGAGATTTCTACCCATTTAACTTGGAAAAAACATCTACTTAAAAGATATTGGATATTTGGATAAAATGAAAACATCATATTAGTTTACGAAAGGTGAAGAAAAATAATATTTTTAGCATATTTCTTTGTCTTGAGCTAGCTATATCAGAAAAGGCTGAGTAACTTCCTACATACATATGAAATCTGGATCATAATTCAAGAATATCTTTTTTAATTCTATACTTCTTTCTACAAAATTATGCTGATCAAACCAAACGTTATAAGAAATGAATTTCAGTTTTTGTATTCCTTCAAGTTTTACTTATTAAGAAATAACGCTATATTAATTGTTATCAATTTTGCATGTTTGTAATTCTCTAATATATTAATGTAAATTATTCATTTTATATTAATTTAAATTGAATTTAGTATTTATTGATAAATAGTATCTATATTTATTTCAAAATTTGAGTATTTTTAATAATTATTGATAATTCTTTTTGTTTTTACTTTTTTACACCTTAAAATTAATAATATTTGTATTTAACATTGATCACGAAAATATTGCTTGTAAAAAATAATAATATACCAATAATTTTTGATAGATTTTGTAAAAATTTAAAGCAAGTAATTATAAATTAAATTATGATAATAAATTTAATTAATGCTATAAGAATAATTAATATATTTTATTATTTAACTTACTTTTTAATTAAATATAAAGGAATGAATTATGACTGTCTTTATGAATTGAATATGCAGCTCTATTTCATTAGAAAGTTTTAATAAATAAAACATTTAATTTATTAAAAAATGATATAATAACAATTCAAAATTTACTTATCTCTACTATTTTATTTATTAATTTATAATCTAATTGATTGTTACTGCACAGAAATAAATTATGCTGGATAAAAATTTAATAAATTCAATAGTTAGTTTTTGTTCAAAGCTTAAAAGGTTTATTTAATAAAGAAAAGTTAGCTAATTTATTTAAAAATTCTTTTAAATAAATGTAGAACATTTAAAATTACAAGTAAAATTCAGAATATGACTTATAAATATATGATAAATTCCAACTTGATGATAATACCCAACACTACAGGCCTATAAAAATAAGGAAATAATAGGAAAGTTAAGGGGAATAGGTAAGCTAATATTTATTAAATGATCAATACTCTCCATAGTAGAAGTAAAAGCTGATTGAAATAATGAAAAGAATTTAGCTACTGAAGAACAAGAAAAGGGCTAAAAAGTTAGTTAATAATCTCCCTTCTAGGATGTTAAAAAGTTTTGACGAAAATAAATTTAATTTTTTGAATGATAAATCATACGTTTATGATAAAGTATTTTTCTAGCTCTCAATACAGGATAGCTAAAATTTTAACAAAGATGATAAATCATAAAAATCTAACCATAAAGTTGATCATCTATGTATTTCGCCATAAATAATATAGAATAAATATAAAAAAAATACTTAGAATAGGGTAAGTGAGCTGAGTATTCATTTCAGTAAGGATGAAGTAATCTAAGAAAACAAATGTCAATTATTTTTTATTTATGTTTCAAAAGAAGCTAAAAAATGCTTAAGATTGCTAAAAAGCTACTTTAAACAATTAAATTTTACTGCGCAAAGATTAATAAATTCAGTACCTATAATTCAGCCTTCAAACATCATAAAGTTATTTTGGGACCTTTTTATCATGCTGACTGTTCTCATTTGCATATTTTTTCTTCCTATAAAAATAATATTTGACTTCGATTTCACTCAGCTTCTGAGTTAGTAACTTTTATATCTCATCTCTATTTCTCTTATCCTTGATATAATAATTAACATAAATACTGGATACTTCGAAAAAGGGCAGGTTATTAAAGAAAGATATAAAATATTTGTGCATTTTATAAAAAATAGGTTTTTTAGTGATATAGTATCGATTTTTCCTTTAATATTTGATATATTCTAAGAATTAGCCTCTGAATAATAAGATAATTAAAGCATATATTAATAGTAGACTTTATCTCATTAAAGCTTTTTTAAAGTGGTTTAACTGATGTTCTTTTTCAAAATATTCACACTCAGTTACAACTTAAAAAAAATGGAAGAAAGATTCAATTTATCAAACACTCTCATTAATATCCTTCAGCTTACTAAGTTATTTTTTACATTAATCTTAATCAATCACTTTTTTGCTTGTATATGGATTTTTATGGCAAAGATCGAAATGTAAAATGGATATTCTATAACCTGGATGTCCTATAATAATATCAATCTAAGTACATGGACTTCTCAGTACATAGCATCATTTTACTTTATGACTGTCACTATGATCACAGTTGGATTTGGAGACATTCTTCCAAAAAATGATCTTGAAATGGTTCTTTCTATTTCAACTATGATTTTCGCTTCTGGCGTTTTTGGGTACTGCCTAAATCAAGTTGGTGCTATTTTCAATAATTTTTTTTTCGTTGACAACTAGATAAAGAAAAAGTTATTAGAAATTTAGAAATACATGAGCAAGAAAAATATCGATTCAAATCTTTAGCTTTAAATAAGAGAATACTTAGAATATTATTGGAGAGAGCAGTCTGAAATGAGTGAAGAATAAGAATAGGACACTATATAAAAACTGAGTGAATCATTGAGATCAAAATTACTTTTCGAAGCAAATAAAATTGTCCTATAAGATTCACCTATATTTAAGCAGAATTTTTCTAAGTAAGTTATTGAAAAAACTGTGCCTTTAATTCATCAAATAAAATATACGCCTGAAAGCAACATATTAAAAAGAGGAGTTTAGGACGATTAGTCAATTTATTTTATTGAAAATGGCTCAGTGGAAGTTGTTTTGGATGCAAAACAAAAAAATTCTCAAAGTATTTATTTATTAAAAAAAGGTTAAAGCTTTGGAGAGTACACCTTCTTTACTGGCCTACCTAGAGTCGAAAATATCCGCTCAAGAGAATTTACAACAGTATTAAAAATTAGTAGATAAGATTTTCTCATGTTACTTTCTAGATTTCCTGAAGATGCTGAAACTTTTTGCAATGTAAGAGATTAAATAGCTTATCTTGAAGACTATTCAAAAATTAATTTAAAATGTATGAGCTGTCATTCATTATATCACCACATTAATGATTGCCAATACTTGCACTACATTCCAAAGAAAGCAAGAATAATTAAAAGTTATAATGACCTAATAAATATTGAAAATCTGTAACGATAAAAGTATGATAGAAGAGATGTTAATAAAGACTACTACTTTAAGAATTCTAAGGTTATCAATTTTGAGGTAGTAAAATAACTACAAATGTAAATAATTAATTTATTGGTTATTATTTATTTTTGAGAATAAAATTTATAAAAAATACATACAGGTATTTAGAAATAAATGAGAGTATTATGGATTCTTAGGATGAAACTTAATATAGTGAGGGATATTATAATACAGATAAAATAGAAAACAATATTGATAAGAATCATAAGAACTATTTGGACGATTGTTAAAAAATGAATAAAGCAGCCGAAAATGATTGCAACAGCTAAAATTATCCCATTTAAAAAAACAGTCTCTCCAAGTTTGTTTCTTCAAGTAACAAAGTAATAAATATAGAGGAATAGACAAGCCATGCTCTAAGTAGCAATTAAATACATGAAAACTTATCAGAAAATTAAATAAACAATGAATATGCTAGGTTTACTTCCTTTTGCAAAGAAAATTTTACCAACTACTTTGATAACAAAGCAGATTTTCATAAATAATTTTCTTTGAAAAGTGTTTAAGAATCTCCTATACTTTAAAATGAAAAATCTGAGAAGATAAATTCATTTTAAAGCATAAATTTTAGTGGTGGAGACAATATTTAAATTTTACTTAATGCATAAGAACTGAGTAGTCAGAGAAACAGAAGAAAAAGCTAACCAGATGAGATCCAAGAAGCATCTAAAAATAGTATTCAAAAATAAACTCGCCCAAGCTTTCTATCAACTTTTATAATTAAAAAACATAATACAACTAACTCTTTTAGTGAAACAACTGAAGGTTCATAAATTTAACTGTAATTTTTTAAATAGTTTATTAATTAAATTATTTATTTATTTATTTATTTTTCCAAATTTTGTTCTCATAAATAAAATTTATTTAAATTTTTAAATGCTAAAAATAAAATTTTTAATTTTAATTGATTGCAGTATTTAAAATTTTCTTATTTTAATTGTTATAAAAAATAAATATTTACAAAATAAGACTCATTAATAATAAATTTAATTAGCCTTTTACTTTAATAAAAAGTACTAAAAATATAGTCCAAGGTAGTGGCGATTGTCTAAAATCCAAAAAAGTAAAATAAAATAAATAAAACAAAGAGAGACATAGTGATCATTATCCTGAGCTTATATAAATATTTTAAGGCATAATTGCTTAAATGAAAAAAACAGAAAAACCTGAATAATATTTTTCTAATGAAAGCATTAGCACTGATTTTTAAAATGATATTTAATTTGGTTTTGATAAAATGAAGTAGTTTATAAAGTATAATCCAAGATTTAATTATTCTAGTGTGATTGGTCGTTTTAATTATCTGCAAGATTAAAGAAGAAAGCTTTTATATAAAAAAACTAATAAGAATTAAAAGATGAGACAAACAGTTCTATTAAGAAATTCATATTTCAAAAATAATGATTCCTTAAGAAGAAACTCAAAAAATCAAACCATTTTTGTTAATTAATATGAAAAACCTCCTAATTAAGATGCAGAATCTATTTCTTCTAAATTTGTGAATGCAAATACTAATATAATTCCTATCAGTGATGTAGATAGCAGTGGCATGAAAAACACAGACTAAGAAATTAAGTAAATAAAAAAATTTTTATCATCAATTATAACATATAAAAATAATTATAAAGATAAAAAGATTTTGCTCAAATAGACTAGATTATCATTAATTTAAATTAGATTTAAGCTATGTCTGAAAATATTTCAGTTATAAATTCCAAATACAATAACAGCTTAATTAAATTAGATTCTCCTCTACAAGATAGTGTTTATTAAGATTCTGATTTAAATAATGATTGTGATATTTAAAAGTATTATGTCAAAGAAGAAAGTGGACTCTCTAGTATACCATACTCATTTAATAGAAGAAGGTCTAACTTTTAAACAGTTTTCAATTAAAATTAATGAACTTTGCTTGCTTCTATAAAAATTTAAATAAATTAAAATAATTCCAAGTTACAAGAAATTAAGTAATTCAAATCTTAAATTCTAATCTCATCTTTTAAATTTCAAATATTTATTTTTATTTATTGATAACTATTAATAATCAATTAATAAATAATTTATAAATGAATTAGATAAATATTTCTTGATAAAAAATCAATTATAAAAATAATTAGCATCTCTTTTATTGATTATAACAATCAAATTATGTTTTATTTAAAATTCATAAAAAGTAATTTACTCTTAATTTTAAAATTAGAGTTTCAAATTAAATCAATTATAGTATATAATTATAAAATTTAAACTTAAGGATAAACAAACAAGCAAATAAATATTTTTATATTTTAGTTTTATGAATGATAAATTATTTAATTTTATAAGTATTCATAAAAAATAGCTTTTGGTACAAATTTATTTTATATAATTTATTTATTATTTCTATTATGATTTATAATTTGATATTTAAATAAAATATATGAAACCAATAAAGATTCGATGTTTAATACAATAAATATTTTACCTAATAAATAAATAACAAAATTTATTTATAATTAATTTTAAGTATAAATGCTAAAAGAATTAAAAATTTTTATAAATATAAAGGGATTTGATGTATTTAATACTTATTTCTAATAAGTTATTTTAATAAAAATTAATTTTTGTATTAAAACAAAATATTTATATGATCTTAATTAAAACCTTCTTTCATTTTAAATTATTAAAACTTGATTTTTATGTATTATTTTTTATAATTTATCAAAATTTAATAAACTATTTTGAATCAATAATAAAATTAATAAATAAGGATTTTATCAATGCTAATTTATATTAGCATATTATAATTTGCAATTCTCCATTTTTAATTTTTATGATTTGCATTTAGTTAAAAATGATACTTTTATTTCAAATAGCTCAGTTTAATTAATATTAAATAATCTTAAAGGAAAAAGAAATAATTAAGAAATATATTTTATAAATAAATACTTTACATATTTGATTGAATAAAAATATATTTAAACAAATTTAAATATTATTTTAACGAAAATATATAAATAGACTTCAATAAATCAACAAATAGAGCCTTATATTTAATCTATTGAATTACACTATATTGCATTGAGTTATGTAAGAGTGGTTTAAATTAAATATTAAAAGTTAAGGATTTTAAATTGTGTATTTACTTAGTATAAAATGTATTTAAATTATAATTCTTTTCTGTTAATTTGATGCCATTTCTTTGTTTGTTTGCTTGTTTGTATTTACTTGAAAAATAATAAATATTAATTCTATATAATTATTTATCTAAATTATTGTCTTCTTAATCTATAATATTATTGATTAAAAAAGTAGAAGAAATTAAGTAGAAGGAACTCTTAATTGTAGGTTGGTCTTTGGAGAATAACAGAATTAGCTTCTTTATTGAATTATGAGCAGTGAAAATAGAATTACTAGATAGAGTATTCAGAATTTTAAATAAAGCTTAAGAAATGATAGGTCTCCTATGAATTAGATCTCACATTTAAGAGTGAAAGGAGCTGAGACAAGTTAAAAAATTACAGATTAATATATTTTTAATGTGCAAGAGAAAGAAAAGTTGCAAAATATTTTCAAAAGGATCCAAAGTATGAAAGATCAAAAGAGAATCCATGATTTAGTGATGAATTTACCAACACGAATGTTGAAGAGTTTTAATTAAAACAAATTTGATTTATTAGACGATAGAAGTTATTTTTACAATGAAGACACATTTTTAGATTAAATAAATAATGGAGTCAACTACAAACGAAAGAGCTTAAAAATAAAAAATGTATCACTTTTTTTAGATTAATCAAAGGATGACGATGAAAACAAAGACATGGATAATAACTTAGAAGATGAGTATAATGTTGAGCCTATTTATGTCTAGACAAAATTTGATAAAATGTTAAAACTTTTATCTAAGATAATTGATAAAATTCCTATCATATAGCCTTCGAGTTCTTTGAAATTAATATGGGATTTAATTAATATGACTGTTATCATTTGCTGCTTGTTTTTTCTTCCTATTGTTATGGTATTTTAATTCTATTTCACTGATTTGATGAACTAAAATATGTTAATATCTATTCCTACTTTGCTCATTATAGATATTATTATCAACTTAAACACTGGATTTTTCTTCAAAGGCTAAGTGATAAAAAGCAGAATTAAAAATTTAGAAAAATATTTTAAAAAACACATATTCATTGACGCTATTTGTATATTCCCTTTACTTTTTACACTTTATGGAGAATATTGTAATATCGACCCTGATTCAGGAAATATAAACGCAAGCTATACGCCTATTCCTAGAATATTTTTACTCCCTTTTTTTTTTAAGATATTTACTCTCATTTCCAAACTCAAAAAAATTGAGGAGAGATTTAATATTCCAAGGTTAATTACAAATTTGATTTAGCTTGCTAAGCTGTTATTTACTATTATTCTAATTAATCATTTGTTTGCATGTCTGTGGGTTTATGTTGCTAAGTATGAAGATGATTAAAAATCATGGATGTAATACAAAAGTATTTCATAAAGTAGTTGGCAAGTCCAGTATTTGGTTGCTTTTTACTTTACAACTGTTACAATGATTACTGTAGGATATGGAGATGTGCTACCAAAAACTAATTTAGAATATATCCTTTGTATCATAACTATGATGATTGCTTGTGGTGTATTCGGTTATTCTCTCAACGAAATAGGGTTAATATTTAGTAATTTTTTTTAAGTCGATAACGAAATAAAGAAAAAGTTGAAATTAATTTAAAGATTTATGAGTAAAAAAAATATCGGTTCAAATCTTCAATATTAAGCAAGGGAGTATTTAGAATATTATTGGAGAGAGTCTGCTGAAGCAGATTAAGAATAAGAATAAAATATTATATCGTAATTGAGCGAGTCTTTAAGATAAAAATTATTATTTGAAGCAAACAAGATAGTTTTAAGAGATTCCCCTATTTTCAAACATAATTTTTCGAAAGGAGTAATTGAACAAACTGTTCCTCTAATTTAAGAAATTAAATACTCTCCAGAAAGTTTAATATGTTAGAAGGGAATTCAAGATGATCAATCCATTTATTTCATTGAAAATGGGTCTGTAGAAATAATACTTACTACTAAAGCAAAGTAGCAGAAAGTTTTGCTCAGATTAGAAAAAGGAGAGTCTTTTGGCGCATATACTTTTTTTACTGGTTTACCAAGAATGAATAATATCAGATCTAAAGAGTTTACTACTATATTAAAAATAAAAAGATAGGATTTCTTAAAGCTTATTTCTAACTAAGCCGAAGATTTAGAAACGTTTTGCAATATTAGAGATTCCATTACCTATCTTAACGATTTTAGCAAGATAGGACTAAGATGCAAGGGATGTAACTCAAATTATCACATGGTAAATGAATGCTAATTTCTCCACTACAACCCCAAAAAGATGAGAATAATAAAGCAATACAATGATTAAAAAAATAATAATCATTACTTTAGAGTGTCTTGCGAAAGAAGAGATGTTAATAAAAATCTCCATTACAAAAATTCTAGATCTATTGCTTAAACTGTTTACTTTCATATATAGAGGTATTTTTTTTATAAATTTTATAATAATTTCAAATTAAAAATTAATCAACCGAATAATCCTAAAATGTATTCAATTTTTCAACAATCAATTTTAAGGTATTTATTTTTTAAATATGAATTTTAATATTCAATATTAAAAATAAGAAATTTTCATCAATGGATTTTATTGATCTGGTAAATTCCTTCTATTGTCCAAACTAAAGGAAATATAATGCTTACCTTCAAAGAATGATTAAATTAAAAATAATATTTCTTTCTTTAAAGATTTGTAGCTTATTTTAGTTTTAGAGTCATTTGAAAATAATAAATTAATGATATTTAATTAATTTATTCATCAATTAAAAATAGATATATTGAAAATAATGGATCGCTTTTAGATTTATCTGATGAAGAAATAGAATACTCTGATGGACATTACAATTAATCAGATTATGATATTGATGTGGAAAACTATACATAAAAAGATAACAATGTATAAAATAAAAAACTTAAAATCCCAGGCTAAGAATTGAATAAACAAAAGAGTAACATAGAGCCTGAAGATTTCAATTCAGCATTAAAAGAGTTTTTTAGCTTAATAGGGCAGGAGCAATATGTTAATGCTCTAAATTTAAAGAAAAATAATACAAAAAATGAACCATAAATTAATGTATATAAAATGAATACCTTTAGTGAAAATGTGAGTGAGCATCCTTCTTCTATAAATGCAATTTAATCAATAAATAAAATTGTTATGCCAATAAGAGATAGGAGTTAGACATAGGAAAAAAATGAAAAATTTGAGAGACTTGAAAAATCAAGATCTTCGATTATCATCAATTAATACCAAAGGCAAACTTCTATCAACCTCAAAAATAACTAAAAGCCATAAAAAGATATATCAAGGTCTTTTAATGACAAAAATTTTGATTAATTGTCAGATAATTAAAAGCATGAGAAAAAACCTGCTAAACCTCATAAAAGGAGTAGTTAAACTTAAAATCATAATGACTAAAAGCTTGATGAAATACTAAGTCATCTTAAACATTTATTTACTCAAAAAGATACTGAATAAATCCAGACTACATATTTTAGAGAAGATAAATTCTCTATCCATGAAAATATTGAAAATAGTGTGTTTCATAATTTTGATAGAATGAAAATTTTTGTCAAGTACAAACCACGTTTTAATTATACTACAGTGATCAGCAAGCTAAATTAACTCTAAGAATAGCTGAGAAAACAAATACTATATCGTAGAAATTACAGAATGTCAAATAGGAAAAAAATTACTTTGTTTTCAAAGATTTAAGGAAATAAAATGATGGATAATTCTTATGAAGCAAGGTCTTGCTCAGTGAGGTAAGTTACTCAAAAGAATTCTTAATCTCCATATAATTAAGAAAATTCTGATAGCAAATACTTAAATGCAATAAAACTTTCTGATTCCACTCTTTGTTTTGAAAAAGAAACAAATAAAAAGTAATTTATATCAAATTTCATTTATTTAATTTATTACTTCAACAATTCTACCCTAAATAATTTTACAGATCTTCATGTAAGGTAAGTCATTTTAATGAGTCAAACTAAGTATAAAAAGGAGAATAGGCATTCTAAATAGATATAATCAATAACTCTGGTAATGATTTAATACAACAAAATAGTTTAAAAGAAATTAAAAATAATAATAATGATTCAAGTTTACATTTAGATAAAAGAACATCTGAATTATTTGATCATAGTTCATGTTAAAAAGCCTTAAAAAATGAAGAGATTGCTTTAGAAGAAGAATTAGAAAATCATGAACAAGCATTAGTAACAATACCACGTGTGATGAAAAATTAAACTACAAATATAGCTCATAGGGCATTATTTGATAAATGAATGAAACATATTTATTAAATTTTTAATATATTTTGTGTTATGATAAAATAAATTGTCCTTCCTTTTTATTAGAATAAATCAAAGTTATAAAAATTTTAATTTAAACACATTATTAAGTATTCGATTTACTTTAAATTTTTAATTTTCTTTCTTGTTTTTATTTGCTCAATTATATTTTTGTAATGAAAGATTCATTTTTCTCAAAATTTATTTATTTTTTTTAATTTTCTTAAGTTTTTAACAATATTTTATGCCTTGTTTAAATTAATAAAAAAGAAATAGAAAAATTATTTCACCTCTTTATGCTTTTTTCTATCTAAATTTTACAAATAATTATCAAAAGCAATTAATTAATTAGGGTAAATTAAAAATTTGTTATTATTTAAATGAAAATTTAAAGAAAAAACTTTTTAATAAGTCTTAGTTATTAATTAAACAATAAATTTGTTTATTTATTTACTCATTATCTAGATAGATAAATAGCTGATTAATTAGTTCTACTATTAAATGTAAAATAGTTATTAAGGAGGAGAAAGAAGCTTTACAATTTTTTCTCCTAAATTACAGAATAACATGAGTATAAATAAATCTCATAACTTATTAAAAAATTCTATTAAAGAGAGAAAAGAGCATGATTAGTACAGCGAAGAGTGGAGTCCGAATTCATAAATGAAGCTGTAGCATGTTCTTTAATATATAAAAAGACTAAGAGATTAGAAGCGTGCTTATAATTTAGTGATGAATTTACCTTCAAGAATGTTGAGAAGTTTTGATAAAAATAAATTTGATCTTTTAAACGATAAAGCTTTTCACTATGATGAAAAGACATACTTATAGTTAATAAACTAAAATAATATTAATAATAATAATTTATAAAACAATATAAGCTAAACACAAGAGCCTAAGAATTAAGACAAAACTAGGCAAACTTAAAGCTTAAATTTATCTAATTCTAGATATAATAACTATTTTGAGTAGGATTCTGTTCTTTGTGACAAAAAAAAATAATAGACAAACAGTATCAGTAAGTAAATAAGCTAAATTTAAATTAAGAATTTGAAAGATAATTTAATAACAATTAAGTCATCTATTGTTAAAATACTTGAGTAAATTCCAGTAATACTGCCTTCAAGCCCTTTGAAGTTTATTTGGGATTTGATTTTCATGATTTTATTAATTATTTGCCTATTTTATTTACCAATTACTATTTCATTTGGATTCATATTCCCTGATTTGATTTCTTAATGCTATTTGATAACTATTCCTACTTTGATATTGTTAAACACATTCTTCTAAATTAATACTGGGTACTATAAAAAAGGATAAGTAATAATTAGTAGATTTAAAATTATTAAAAAATATGTAAAAAAAACACTCATCCAAGACCTTATTTGTGTTTTCCCACTTACATTCACACTTTATTATTAAACTTATAAATACTAACAGAAATAGTATTAAGATATTGATGAAAATAATGCTTCCTTTTAACTTCTCCTTTTGCCTTTTATTTTCAAAGTTTTCTCTATAAATGCAACTTTAAAAAATTTTGAAGAAAGATTTAACTTACCTAAATTCTTGCTCAATATGATTTAATTGGCCAAGCTTTTATTAACAATAATTTTTATTAATCACTTATTTGCTTGCCTCTGGCTTTACATAGCTCGTATAGAGAGAAAGTATGGCGTAGATTAAATTTGGTTGAACTATAACAATATTCAAAATGCTAATTGGTCTCAACAATATGTAGCTGGTTTCTATTTTATGACTGTAACCATGATAACTGTTGGCTATGGAGATTTCCTACCATTAAATTAACAAGAGTAAATTCTCAGTGTTATAACTATGATGCTAGCATGTGGTGTTTTTGGTTATACTTTAAATGAAGTAGGATCAATATTCAATAATTTTTTCTAAGTCGATAGAGAGATTAAAAGAAAATAAATTCTAATTTAGAAATTCATGAGTACAAAAAATATTAATAAAAGATTATAATATCAAATAAGAGAGTATTTAGAATATTGTTGGAGAGAGTAGGCAGAGACTGATTATGAAGAAAAGTAGATGATAATTGATTAATTAAGTGATTCACTTAGATAAAAACTACTCTTTGAAGCAAACAAAATTGTTCTGAGAGATAATCCAATATTTAAGCAGAATTTTTCAAAAAATGTTATTGAAAAAACTGTGCCTTTGATTCTAGAAATGAAATATTCCCCTGAGAGTATAATTTGCTAAAAAGGAGTATTGGATGATTGCTCTATTTATTTTATAGAAAAAGGATCAATCGAAATTGTACTGAATCCTAAGGGAAACAATCAAGTATAGCTATTAAAGCTGAACAAAGGTGAATCGTTTGGATCTCATAGCTTTTTTACTGGTCTTCCAAGGATTAATAATATCAGATCGTGTGAATTTACAACTGTTTTAAAGATAAAAAGACAAGATTTCTTGTAATTGTTATCATGCTATCCTGAAGATTATGAGACTTTTTGTTTCATTCGCGATCAAATAAACTTTTTGAATGACTATTCAAAAATAGGATAAGTTTGCAAGAGTTGTAGCTCAAGCTATCACATGATAAATGATTGCTAGTATCTTCATTACATATCAAATAAGGCTAGAATAATTAAAATGTATAATGATGAGAATAATATCAATTAAACTGAAAGAACTCCTCATTAACGAAGAAATCCTAATGTTAATTATCACTACAAGAATTCATTAGTCATTTAACATGATGTTGTTAAGCAAAATTTAATGTAATCTGAAGATATTTTTTAAATTGATCTTTTAACAACTATCAATAAAATAATTTAAAAATGAATTTTCTGTTTTTTTATTTTAAATACCTGATTAAATTATTTAAATTTAATTTAATAGCTTCTTGGAATAAAATGAAAGTTTACTAAATTTTAGTGATGAAGATACTGAATTTTCAGACGGATATTATAACTAAGAGAGTTTAAGAGGATAGTAAAATATTTAAAGATATCCCAATACAGATGGATCAAATTTCAAAAAAAACATCTTTCTTATCTCTGAGCAATCTACACTTAAAGAATAAGAAAACGATAGCAATTTTAAGTATCCACTTACTAAAAAGAACACGATATCAAAGTTTGGATAAGATTATAATCATACTGTTAGCAGAAGTTTAAATACAATAGATAAAAATTTAGATAGTGCTCTTGAAAATACAACATTTTAGAATGATATTTTATCATTAAATATCCCAGATATTTCCTAATAATAATAGAACATTTAATTTAATTCACCTTCTCTTGAATATGATGCTACAAGCAAAAAAAATGTAATAACACCTTCTTCGAGAAAAAATTATGATATGTAATTCAATACAATCAATAGAATGAGAACAAATACAGCTGATAAAAGTGAGAATAATTACGATTAAAATATTTCATTTAACTAAGCTTATTAGAACTTTTCTTGTGAAGCAAATAACAGGTAAGGTTTATAGACTAAGCTATAAAATTAATAAGCGAACGAAGATTCATTTGCTAAAAAATCCAAATCGATTTCTCATTAATAGCAAAAGAGTTTAAAAAACCGCAGTTAAATAAGCTAAGATGAGTTTGAAAAGACCCTTTCATCAGAAAATAAGTAATTAATTTATAAAAATTAATTATTTTAAAAAAATGAAAATTAGAAATATGTAGGGATCAAATGGGAATGACAGGAAAAAAAATAGATTGCAAAAAAGCCCTACCGAATAAATTAGTTTGATTTTAAAGCAAGTAAAAATACTTGTAAATCAAAACTAGCATAACTAAATTAATGAAAAGAAAAAAACATAATAAATGGAAGATGATATTGGATAGTTTGATATCTTTTTAAATTTTGAAAAAATGAGATAGTTTATTAAATATAACCCTAGATATAATTTCTCTAGTGTAATTAGTAGATTCAATTAGATTCAGGATTTGAAAAATAAAAATATTAGAAGCAAAAAATCTTGTAGAATTAAAAAGCTAACTACACAAGTGTTGACAAAGACATAGTTTAACACTTAATTAGATTCAAAAAAGCTTTAAAAAAACATATCAAGTAATAAGCAAATCACAAATAATTAATATGAACATACAGAATCAAAACAAGATTCTAAAAAAGTTCATACCTATTCTGCTAAGTAAGATTCTGATCTAGATCCTACCTCTTAAGAAACATAAAGCTAAAAGTAATTAATTGACTTTATAAACATTTTAAATTAAAATAAATAAAATTAAAATATTTAATTCAGCCCGAAGAATTTTTCGAAAGCAAATAACTTTAATAATGATATCAGCTTTTAAGTTGGAAACATATAATAGACAATATCCTAAATTATTGAAGGAATAAATAAAAAATAGTAATTAGAAAATTTTAGCATTAATCCAAATAGGCGTGAATTAGATATAGATTCAAATAATAATAGCGATATTATGAGTGAATCCAGTTTTTAAAGCAAATTTGGTATTAATAAATTTTAATAATAATAAGTAGGTGCTTTCGAACGACTAAAGAAAGATTATTGAAACAAAACTTTATTAAATTAAAAACAAAAATAAAGGAAAATTTCTTTTAATAAAATTTAACTATTTTCAAACTCGTATTTCTTTATAAATTATAGAAAATATTTGTTTTCTCACATTTTTTTTTGTAAATCATTAAATATTTTTCCCATAAAATTTTTTTCTGAAGCCATAGGACAAAAAATCCTGAATATCCATACTCTTTTAATAATTATCATTCATTTAAAAATTTAATGATATTTAATGCAATTAATTTATTCATCAATTAAAATAGATATATAAAAATCAGTATGTTTCATAATTTTGATAGAATGAAAATTTTTATGAAATACAAACCACGTTTTAATTATATCACAGTGATCAACAAACTTAATTAACCCTAAGAATAGCTAAGAAAATAAATTCTATTTAATAGAAATAATATAATGTCAAATAGGAAAAAATTTCTTTGTTTTCTAAGATTTAAGGAATTAAAATGATGGATATTTCTTATGAAGCAAGGTCTTAATCAGTTAGGTAAGTTATTCAATAGCATTCTTAATCTCCATAAAATTAAGAAAACTCTGATAGTAAATACTTAAGCGCAATAAAACTTTCTGATTTCACTCTTTGTTTTGAAAAAGGAACAAATAAAAAGTAATTTATATCAAATTTATTTAATTTATTACTACAATAATTCTACCTTTTTAATACAAAAAATAGCTTAAAAGAAGGTAAAATTAATAAAACTGATTCAAGTTTGCATTTAGATAAAAGAACATTTGAATTATTTGATCACAGCTCATGTAAAAAAGCCATAAAAAATGAAGAGATTGTTTTACAAGAAGAATTAGAAAATTACGAACAAGCTTTAGTTACAATACCACGCGCGCTTGATGAAAAATTAAACCACAAATAATATAGCTTGATAAACGAAACATATTTATTAAACTATCCTTCCATTTTTTATTAAGATAAATCAAAGCTATAAAAATTATACTTTGAATACATTTTTAAATATTGAATTTACTTTAAATTATTAATTTTCTTAATTTTTTTAGTTTAATTTATTATTTTTTCACACTTTAAATATTATTTTTTTTTGCAAATTTATTTATTGGTGTTTTTTTATTTTTTTAAATTTTTAACTATATTTTTATGTATTGCTTAAAGGGAAAAAAAATATGTAATTAAAAAAGTTAATTATACAGCTATAATATTATATCATTTTTCATTTTAATTTACCTATTTCTGTCTATATTTTGTTAAGAATTTCAACAAAAAAGGATTGATTAATTAATTTAAGTATAAAGAAATTTTTATAATAATAATAATAATTACAACATATAAAACAAATGAGGTAATAAATATATTTATTCAATTAATTAAAATTAAAAGAAAAAAAAAAATTTTTTAATTTTTAGTTATCAATTAAATAATTTGATTATTTGCTACTTTCTAGATAATTGATTATTTAATTCTACTATTAAATGTAAAGCAGCCACTGTGGGTATGGAGGAGAAAGAAGCTTAACAAATGTCTCCCCCAAATTACTGAATAATATAAGCATAAATAAATCTCATAATAAAGAGAGAAAAGAGCATGAAGAGAATAGCGATGAGTGGAGTCAAAATTCATATATAAAACTACAGCATATTCTTTAATATATAAAAAGGCTAAAAGATTAGAGGCGTGCTCATAATTTAGTTATGAACTTACCTTCAAGAATGTTAAGAAGTTTTGATAAAAATAAATTTGATCTGCTAAACGATAAAGCTTTTCACTATGATGAGCAGACATACTTATAACTAATAAACCAACATAATATCAATAATAATAATTTATAAAATAATAGTAGCTTAACACAAGAGCCTAAGAATTAAGACAAAAATAGGTAAAGTTAAAGCTTAACTTCATCTATTTTTAGGTATAATAATAACTATTTTGAGTAGGATTCTGTTGTTGATGACAAAAATAATTAATAGACTAACAGTATCAGGAAGTAGATACACTAAAAATAAGTTTAGTATTTCAAAAATATTTTTATAACAATCACCTCGTACATCTTTAAAATACTTGAGTAAATTCCAGTAATACTGCCTTCAAGCCCTTTGAAGTTTATTTGGGATTTGATTTTCATGATTTTATTAATTATTTGCCTATTTTATTTACCAATTACCATTTCATTTGGATTCATATTCTCTGATTTGATTTCTTAAAGCTATTTGATAACTATTCCTACTTTGATATTATTAAACACATTCTTCTAAATTAATACTGGATACTATAAAAAAGGATAAGTAATAATTAGTAGATTTAAAATTATTAAAAAATATGTAAAAAAAACACTCATCCAAGACTTTATTTGTGTTTTCCCACTTACATTCACACTTTATCATTAAGCTAATAAATACTAACAGCAATAGTAATAAGATATTGATGAAAATAATTCATACTATTAGCTTCTCCTTTTGCCTTTTATTTTCAAAGTTTTTTCTATAAATGCAACTTTAAAAAATTTTGAAGAAAGATTTAACTTACCTAAATTCTTGCTTAATATGATTTAACTGACCAAACTTTTATTTACAATAATTTTTATTAATCACTTATTTGCTTGCCTCTGGCTTTATATAGCTCGTATAGAGAGAAAGTATGGCGTAGATTAAGTTTGGGTAAGCTATGACAATGTTTAAAATGCTAATTGGACAAGGCAATATGTAGCTGGTTTCTATTTTATGACTTTAACTATGATAACCGTTGGTTATGGAGATTTCCTACCAAAGAATTAACAAGAATAAATTCTCAGTGTTATAACTATGATGATATCATGTGGTGTTTTTGCCTATACTTTAAATGAAGTAGGATCAATATTCAATAATTTTTTCTAAGTTGATAGAGAAATTAAAAGAAAATAAATTCTAATTTAGAAATTCATGAGTACAAAAAATATAAACAAAAAATTGTAATATCAAATAAGGGAGTATTTAGAATATTGTTGGAGAGAGTAGGCAGAGACTGATTATGAAGAAAAGTAGATGATAATTGATTAATTAAGTGATTCACTTAGATAAAAGCTACTCTTTGAAGCAAACAAAATTGTTCTGAGAGATAATCCAACATTTAAGCAGAATTTTTCAAAAAGTGTTATTGAAAAAACTGTGCCTTTAATTCTAGAAATGAAATATTCCCCTGAGAGTATAATTTTCTAAAAAGGAGAATTGGATGATTGCTCCATTTATTTTATAGAAAAAGGATCAATTGAAGTAGTGCTGAATCCTAAGGGAAACAACCAAGCATAGTTATTAAAGCTGAGCAAAGGTGAGTCGTTTGGATCTCATTGCTTTTTTACTGGTCTTCCAAGGATTAACACTGTTAGATCGTGTGAATTTACAACTGTTTTAAAGATAAGGAGACAAGATTTCTTGTAATTGCTATCCTGCTATCCAGAAGACTATGAAACTTTTTGTTTCATCCGTGATCAAATAAATTTTTTGAATGACTATTCAAAAATTGGATATGCTTGCAAGAGTTGTAGCTCTAGCTATCACTTGGTAAATGATTGTTAGTATCTTCATTATATAGCAAATAAAGCTAAAGTAATTAAAATGTATAACGACGAGAATAATATTAAATAAACTGAAAGAGTTCCTTATTAACGAAGAAATCCTAATATAAATTATCACTACAAGAATTCATTAACCATTTAGAATGATGTATTCAAGCAAAATTTAATGTAATTTTAACTTTTTATTGTTAAATTATTTTATAATTTATCTCTTATACATCATTAACAAAATAATTAAAAATGAATTTCCAGTTTTTAAATTTTAAAAATTTGATTAAATTAATTAAACTTAATTTGATTTAATTTAACAGCTTCTTGGAATAAAATGAAAGTTTACTAAATTTTAGTGAGGATGATAATGAATTTTCAGACGGATACTTTAGCTAAGAGAGTTTAAGAGGATAATAAAATATGTAAAGTTATGCTCACACTGATGGAGCTAATTTCAAAAAGAACATCTTTCTGATCTCTGAACAATCTACACTTAAGGAATAAGAAAACGATAGTAATTTTAAGTATCCACTTACTAAAAAGAACACGATATCAAAGTTTGGATAAGATTACAATCATATTGTTAGCAAAAGTTTAAATACAATAGACAAAAACTTAGATAGCGCCCTTGAAAATATAGCTTTATAGAATGATGATTTATCATTAAATATTCCAGATATTACCTTATAATAATAGAACATTTAAATGCATACATCTTATCTTGACTAAGATGTTACAAGTAAAAAGAATGTAATAACATCTCCTTCGAAAAAAAATTTTGATATCTAATTCAATACAATAAATAGAATGAGAACAAACACAGCTGATAGAAGTGAATTTAATTTTGATTAAAATACTTCATTTAATTAAGCTTATTAAAGCTTTTCTTCTGAAGTAAATAGCAGGTAAGTTTTGTAGACTAAACTATAGGCGAATGAAGATGCGCTTGCTAAAAAATCTAAGTCAATTTCTTTATAAAAGTAAAAGAGTTAAAAAAATCACAGTTAAATAAGCTTAATTGAGTTTGATAAGGCCCTTTCATTAGAAAATAAGTAATTGATTTATAGGAATTATTAAATTTTAAAAAATGAATATTAGAAATATGTAGGGATCAAATGAGAATGACAAGAAAAAAAATAGATTAAAAAAAAACCTTACTGAATAAATTAGTTCGGTTTTAAAACAAATTCAAATACTTGTAAGTCAAAATTAGCAAAACTAAATTAATGAGAAGAAAAAAGCATAATAGATCGAAAATGATATTGGCTAGTTTGACATCTTCTTAAATTTTGATAAAATGCGTTAGTTCATTAAATATAACCCTAGATACAATTTTTCTAGTGTAATCAGTAGATTCAACTAGTTTCAGGATTTGAAAAATAAAAGAATTAGAACCAAAAAATCTGTTAGAATTAAAAGGTTAACTACATAAGCATTGATAAAGACACAATAAAATACTTAATTAGATTCAAAAAAGCTTCAAAAAAATGCATCAAGTAATAAGCAATTTACAAATAATTTTTATGAATATTCAGAATCAAAACTAGATTCTAAAAAAGTTCATACACATTCTGTTAAGTAAGAGTCTAATCTAGATCCTACCTCTTAAGATATAGAAAACTTAAAGTAATTAATTAAGTTTATAAGTAATTTAAATAAAATTAAAATATTTAATTCAGGTTGAAGAATATTTTGATAGCAAATAACTACTGTAGTGATAGTAAGCTTTAATTAGAAAGCATAGATTAAGCTATATCATAAATTATTGAAGGGATAAACAAAAAATCTTAATTAAACGCTTTTAGCATATATCCGAGTAAGAATGAATTGAATTTAGATTCAAATAATAACAGCGATATTATGAGTGAATCTAGCTTTTAAAGTAAATTTGGAATTAAGAAATTTCAATAACAACAAATAGGTCTTTTTGAACGGCTCAAAAAAGATTATTGAAAAATAAGTTTATTGAATTTAAAACATAGGGAGTATTTATTTTACTAAAATTTAATTATTTTTAAACCACTATTTCTTATTAAATTTGATTCAAATATATTTAATTCATAAATTTTTATATTATCTGTACTCTGTAGAGGTATTTCAAAATTAACTAAACATTTATCTTCAAATTGTTAATTAACTAAAATTTATAAAATTATTATTTATTTTTCAAATTTTTAGTAATTGATTGGCAAATAGTTTATTTTTACTTTATGTATTTGCTTTTTTAAATTTGTCAAAAATATTTTTTTTATTTACATCACATATAAATTTTAAAAGACATATTATTAAATGGCAATTAATTCAGACTCATCTACAATTTATTAATACTTTTTGACTAAACATTAATAAGATTGCATTAAGAGATTTTGTTACTTGTTTTTTTAGCTATCTTATAAAGTTAATAATAAATTATTTAACAAACAAATTTTTTACTTCTACTAAATAAAACAATTAAAGGAAAAACTACAATTTAATTATTAATTATTTTTTATACTCTCATTTATCATTTTTAATCAAAAGAAGGATAGAAATTAAAAGCATAAAGAGATAATTGATGATATAAAGCATCTCACCTTCAAAGTTTTAATCATCTATTAAATTTCCATTAAATAGAGAAGAAAAAAATGAATAAGAAAACATTATTGATTTATGGAGTCCAGATTCGAAAAAAAAATTAAAATAGGTATTGCAGTTTATAAAAAAAACTAAAGATGAGAGAAGAGCCCATTACTTAGCTATGAACTTACCTTCAAGAATGCTAAAAAGTTTCGATCAAAACAAATTTGATTTATTAAATGACAAAGCTTTTCATTACAACAAATAAACATATGATGAACTAATTAGTGAAAAGCGAATTTTTAAATCTCATAGCACAAGTAAATAAAGTGATACAAAATATGGTGAACAATCTAATTCAATAAATTAAAGTGCCTTTCTATCTATAGAAAAGAAGTATGAGAAATAGGATTCTATTATACTTGATACAAAAAGTAAACCTGCTTTTAAAAACAATTATATCCATGCAAAATATTCTTTAGTAAAAAACAATTTAAACATAATAAAGCTAAACATTCTTAAATTATTAGACTAAATTCCTGTTATCTCACCTTCAAATCACTTTAAATTTATTTGGGATTTGATATATATGATTGTTATTATCATTTGCTTGTTTTACTTACCAATAACTATTGCTTTTGATTTCTATTTTTCTGATATGTTTAGTTACTCGAGTTTAGTTATAATCCCTACATTAATTGTATTCAATATATTCTTAAAAATAAATACTGGGTACTTTAAAAAGGGCTAAGTTATTGCTAGTAGATACCAAATCATTAAAAAATACTTCAAATAAACATTTCCAAAAGATATTTTATGTGTCTTTCCTCTTGTTTTTACAATGTACTATCAAGCAAATAATATTGAATAATAAGAATAATAGTAAATCAATTAAAACAGTACATACATGCATCTTTTTCTATTGCCATTTATTTTCAAAACTTTCTCTATAAATGCAACTCTTAAAAAATTTGAAGAAAGATTTACTCTACCAAGATATTTACGAAATATAATTTAACTTATCAAACTTTTATTCACTATACTGTTTATCAACCACTTATTTGCTTGTATTTGGTTATTTGCAGGTCGCATTTAAAGATAATACAATAATGATAAAATTTGGTTGAGTTATTAGAATTTATAAAATAGCAATTGGACTAGGCAATATGTTGCTGGATTCTATTTTATGACTGTAACGATGATAACTGTTGGTTATGGTGACATCTTACCATAAAACTAAAACGAAGAAATACTTTGTGTTATTACTATGATGATAGCATGTGGTGTATTTGGGTATTCCCTAAATGAAGTAGGATCGATTTTCAATAATTTTTTCTAAGTTGACAGAGAGATTAACAGAAAATAAATATTAATTTAAAGATTTATGAGCACAAAAAATATTAACACAAAACTATAATATCAGATAAGAGAATACTTGGACTACTATTGGAGAGAGTAAGCAGAGACTGACTATGAGGAAAAGCAAATGATAATTGATTAGTTAAGTGATTCTCTTAGATAAAAATTACTCTTTGAAGCAAACAAAATAGTTTTGAGAGATAATCCAATTTTTAAGCAAAACTTTTCTAAAAATGTAATTGAACAAACAGTTCCACTGATTTAAGAGATGAAATATTCTCCAGAAAGCATTATTTGTTAGAAAGGGATTTAAGATGACAATTCAATTTATTTTATAGAAAATGGGTCTGTAGAAATTATGTTAAATCCGAAGGGAAATAATTAAAGTGGATTAGTAAAGCTTAAAAAAGGTGAATCTTTTGGAGCCTACAGCTTTTTTACAGGACTTCCAAGAATTAATAATATTAGGTCAAATGAATTTACAACTGTTTTGAAAATAAAAAGACAGGATTTCTTACAGTTACTGTCTATGCACTCAGAAGATTATGAAACATTTTGCTTTATTAGAGACTAAATCAGCTATTTAAATGATTATTCAAGAATAGGATAAGTATGTAAAAGTTGTAATTCAAGCTATCATATGGTTAATGACTGTTAGTATCTTCATTACATTCCTAATAAAGCAAGAATCATAAAAAGATACAATGATGATGATAATAACTAGCAAACAGAAAGAGTTGCACACTAAAGGAGAAGTTAAGATTAAAAATATCATTTTAAAAACTCCTTAGCTATCTACAATGACGTAATGAAATAAAATCTGATGTATTTATTTTATTTTATTCATCCATTTTATAAAAAAAATAAATAAAATTACAAACTATTTTTTAAATAAAATATTAAGGTTTTTAGAGTTAAATGAAAGCATCTTAAATTAAAGTGGTGAACTTTCATAATATTCTTAAGGATATTTTAATATTGAAAGTTAAGATTATGAATAAGTTTACTCAAAGAATCACCAAATCGATGCTAATGAATTTAAAAAAGAATCAAATCAAATAGCAGATATCGAAGTGATAAAAGAACAAGAATTTGAAGGTTCAACTCAAATAATTAAAAAGAATACTTTATCTAAGTTTGGCTAAGATTACAATCATACTAAAACCAAAAGTTTTAACTCATTAGACAAATAACTATAAAGTGGTTTAGAAAATGGTAATGACGTCATATCCTTAAGTATTCCTGATTAAGCTCAATAATATGCATATAGCTACACAAACTCTCCTGTAATTGATTACGAAAACTTACCTAAAAGGAATGCGATGACACCTTAATCAAGAGGAAATATAGATAAACATATTAATTCATCTAATAGATTAAGGACAAATACTTATGATAGGCATGAAATTGGAGAAAATTATTAGACTTTCTCTTCATAAGTAAACTTCCATCATATTAATGAATCTGCAAATAAGCAGTATTTATCTTAAAGGTTAAAAAGCCATAATGAAGATTTCTAAGAATAAAATGATAAAATAAAAAAGCAAAAATAACTTTTAAACTCAAAGAGTCATAAAGAATTTACACTGATTAATTTTGAAGATTTAGAATAGACAACTCCATCTTCTGAATATAGGTAAGTATTATTCTCATTATTATCTTTTGATTTATTAAAATATTATTGAATATTTCAGAAATAATTTTTTTAAATAGTTTACAAATAAATTTATTTTGATAAATAAATAAAATATTTATTTATATTAAACAAAAAAATGTATTTATTAGGAAAAAAAATAGCAGTGATTTAATGAAAAAGAAATTATTTAGTTAATATAAATTCAATTCAAGTAATTCATCAGAACAGATATAATTGGATTAAATTCTCAAATAAATTCAGCTTTTGGTAGTTTCTAACTAATAAAAAATGAATAATCAAGAGAAAGAAAGCAATTTGATTAAATGCTAAATTGATATTTTTGAAAATTTTGATAAAATGAGATAATTTGTGAAATATAATCCAAGATACAATTATTCAAGTGTGATAAGCAGATTTAATCAGATGTAGGATTAACAAAAAAGAGCATCTAAAATAAAAAAAAGTTATAGAGGTAAGAGGAAGACTACATACTAACAGGGTAAAACTCTTTTTAAACAATAAGATAATAATACCACCTAACAAGAAAGCAAATATTTTTAGAAAAATAATTATTAAAATGCTAACTATATTTATGAAAATACTGAGTCTAAAATGAATTCCAAAAAAGCAAATATCGGCTCTCTAAAAAAGTATGATTCTGATTTAGAGCCCTTCGCCTAAGGTGATAGCTTAAGTTAAAAGTAACATTACATAAAAAATTTATTTAATTTAAAATTTTAAATAAATATTCATTTTCTATTTAGATAATTAATTTTAAATATTTAAAAATTGATTCATTTTTTTTAACCTAAGGTTTATTTTATCACCTATCTCTGGTGAGCAGTTAAGCTTTAAAATTGATGGTTAGGTACCTAATTTTATGAATTTTTTGAATTCATTTTCGCAGGATGTTTTGCTAAAAAAAGACATATCAAACAGATTTAATTATTATCATAGTGAAAAAAATGACATGGATTAGGATTAATTGAATAATTGTGAGATCAATAGCGAAGAAAGTAATAAAAACAAATCTCCTAAATTTATTTCTTTTAATAAAAATCAAATAAACGTTTTTAATAGAAACAATAGTATTGATTAGTGATGTATTCATTTTATATGATAAATGTAAGCTTAAAAATGTAATAAATAAGATCTAAAAAAAATTGTATTTAGAATTGTAATTATAAAGAAATAATTCTTTGTTTTTGTATTCTTCAAAATTAGCTTCAAATGTTAATTAGTTTTAATGTAAATTAATAAAAATAATTAATAACTAACCAAAAAAGTTAATCATTTATAAATGCATAATTTACTTAGCCTAATAGATTAAATCGTTTTCTTAGAGTACTCCTTTAACAACCAAACATTAATAAAGCCAACATGAATTATTTAATTAAAATACAGAATAAAGCATTTAAGATTTAATTTTGTTATTTGTAAATTATTTAATATAAATTTTAAATACCAATCACTTAAATAAAAAGCACTTCATAGTGAAATATAAAAGTTAAGGAATATCGGTAACTTCACTCTACTAAAGCCATTATAACATAACTAGCCTAGATATGGCATCCTTCAAAAAGTAGAATGAAACAAGTGAAAAGTTAGATTGGCTCTAAATAGAGCTAAATAATTAGTATTCTACTAATCAGATTACTAATAGTATAAGCAAAAGAAAGGTGCTAGATTTAAATACTTATAATAATAATGAGAACGAGTTCAAAGATGAGTGGAACGAAGAGGAAAAAATTAAATTAGAAAAAATACTTTAAAAAATGAAATTAATGAAAAATCAGTAAAGGGCGCATGACATTGTGAAGAATCTTCCTTCAAGAATGTATAAAAATTTCGACAAGACAAAGTTTGATCTTCTAAATGACAGGTCAAGTTTTTATGAAGAAATTGTAAAAGATTAGAGGAAACCTTCTCACTATTAATTAGAAACATAAAAAGTGCAACTTCATATGCCTTCCATAGTTTTATAGAAAGCATGCTCCCCTGAATTTAATAAGGGGTAGAGAAAAAAAATAGAAATATTTTCTAATTTAAATAAGCAGCTCAAAGAAATAATTAAGATATGTTGTCTTTCTATTTCTTCTGCCTTAAAAATAATACCTGTTATTTAACCTTCTAGTACGTTTAAACTTGCTTGGGACTCTATTAATATGTTAGTTATTTTACTTTGTATGTTTTATTTGCCAGTAGCTATAGCATTTAATTTTAATTATGAAGAAATTATGCCGAAAGAGCTATTGTTTGTCATTCCAATATTCCTCATTTTTGACTGCTTGATTCACTTTAATACAGGATATTTCGAAAAAGGACAAGTCATTACAAGTAGAACTAAAATTTTTAAAAAGTACTTCAAAAATAATATTTTAAATGACTTAATTTCTTTGGTGCCTTTCTTAATTACAATCTATGGAGAGCTAAGTTAATAGATATATATAAAAATAGATGGCAAAAATTAAATACTAGAAATAGTACTAAAAATTTTGATAATACCATTTTTTTTTAAAGCCTTTTACATCAAAAATAGAGTTATTAAAAGAATAGAAGAAAGATTTCATCTCTCCTTTCAAGCTACTAATATCATTATGCTTGCAAAGCTTTTATATACAATTATATTAATTAATCATTTATTTGCTTGTCTTTGGGTAGGCACTGCTAAAATTGAATTGGGTTTAAAGTACACTGATACTTGGATGAATTACTAGCAATTACATCAAAGCTAATGGTCTGTATAATATGCAGCAGCATTTTATTTTACAACAGTAACAATGATTACTGTAGGCTATGGTGATATACTTCCAATTACTACTCTTGAAAAAGTAGTATGCATTTTTATTATGATGATTTCTTGTGGTGTATTTGGTTACTCATTAAATGAAATAGGAGCAATATTTAGTAATTTCTATCAAGTTGACAATCAAATAAATCAAAAAATAGGCATAATCCAACGATTTATGAGTAGAAAAAATATTAATCCTAGCTTAGAATATCAGATTCGTGAATATTTAGAATATTATTGGAGAGAATAAGCAGAATAAGATTAGGATTAAGAATAAAGTATAATCGATTAATTGAGTGAGTCTTTAAAATCAAAGCTTTTAATTGAAGCAAATAAAATTGTCTTGAAAGACTCACCAATTTTCAAACTGAACTTTTCAAAATACCTAATTGAGTAAACTGTTCCTTTGATAAAATAAATAAAATATTCACCAGAATCTTTAGTTTGCTAAAGAGGTGTCTCGGATGATGCTGCCATTTATTTTATTGAAAATGGTTCTGTTGACATTATAATGAATACAAAGGATAAAAAGTCAAAACCTTTATTTTCATTGAAGAAAGGAGATAGTTTTGGGACTTTTACATTTTTTACAGGGCTACCAAGATAGAATAATGTTATTGCAAGGGAGTTTACAACTATTTTGATGATAAGAAGAATAGATTTTCTTTAGCTCTTGCAACATTTTAATGAAGATTTTGAAAAATTTTGCCATATTAGAGATTAAATAAGTTTTTTAAATGATTATACTTCAGTAGGAATAAAATGCATAAGTTGTAACTCTTCCTATCACCTAGTAAGTGATTGCTAATATCTACATTATATCCCAAATAAAGCTAAAATAATAAAATGTCACAATGAAAGTTAGAATGTCAAATAACAATTGAGACAAGAAATTTAAAGAAGAGAAATTAATAAAAGATATCACTTTAGAAATGCTAAAAGCACTTATCACGAAATCAATAGGCAAGCACATATGTAAATATTTATTAAGGCTAAAATAGATTTATTTATTTAATTAATTAATTTCGATTAATCTCTTTTAAATTATAAGTTTGTTTATAAGATTTATATTTGTAAAATTTATTCGTTTTTATTTAAAATTAAAATATAAATCTAAAATTATTGAAAAAATTTAATAACCCCCTTTTTAAAGATTTTAGGATCACTATAATAGCTGGATAAATATTTCTGATGAAGATCTAACAGATTTTTCTGATGGTTATTATGGTGAGAGTGAGCTCAATTAGTAGATAAAAAACACAGATGAAGATCAAAACAATAAAAAAATGAAATTTGGATTTGATTAAAATAATTAATTTGGAAGCAAGAACTAATTAGAAAATATTAATGGTAATGAAGGTGAAATTAATTATTAATGTTCAAGTTTTAAAATGCTTACATCACAGGGAAATAAGCTGAGCAAGCAGAAAAGCCAGCCAGATATTGAAAATACTCCTGATAGAAAGAGTATTCCTTCAAAGTTGTCATTTAAATAGAAAAAAACAAAAGAATTTTAGAATTCTGAGATAAGAACCAGAAGTAAAACAGAAAGAAGCGATCGCTAATATGATGAAAATGATGAAAGAGATTTAATTTCAATAAGGCTTATAGTTGATAGCGAGCAAGCATCATTTAAACCATATGTTTAGGAAGACTAAAGAATAGAAAGAGTAAAAAAGATAAAAGAGTATTCAAGTAAGAGTCCTATGTCAAGAATGAATTAACAAAATGATGAAACTGATTTTACTTAGCTTGAAAAAATAAACTCTGTTAATTCTTCAGAGGAAATTTCAGTAGACAAAGGGTAATTAATTAATTAATATTATTTTTATAAATTTAATTGAAAATAAATTCCATAATTTTAAAGGTAGAAGTAAAAGTTGTGCAAAAAATAATCGAATGATTTACTTAAAATAGTTTCTCAAATAGGTAGCAAGACAAATATCAAAGAAGAAGGGAATAATTAAGATTAAATACTGAGATAGCTTTAAACTCTTCTAAAAAATCAATAGCTTCTATTCAGTTAAAATGATTAAGTTAAAGAAAATTAAAACCTTTAAAAAATAGATGAAATCTTCCTTGGGTTTGACTAGATGAAATAATTTGTTAAATATAACTAGAGATATAACTTTCCTAGTGTAATTAGCAGATATAATCAATTTATGGATGCAAAAAAAAAAAAGATAGCTAAAAAGAGAAATGATAGATTGTCTAAATTAAGAAGTACTTATACAAAGACATAACTAAAAATATAAGATCAAAATTATTAAAGTTAGAGAAAGATATAGAACTTGAATATTAATTTAGCTTAAAGTGACTTAGATTTAACAAGAAAGTATTTATAAGAAGGTCAAAAGCAAGTCAGTGATGTTGAATCTTTTTCATCTAGATTATAAAATAGTAAATATTAAAAAAGGTAACTATTTAATTTGAACTATTTTAGAATTTAACTCATATTTTATAATAGTGAAAATATTTTTGATTACAAAAATTACTTTGCATAAGAGTAGCATAATAGCATGAAATATGGAATGAACTCGAACAGTAATCTAGTGCTAAACAGTCATTCTCTATTTAAAGACTATTAACAAAATGATACTTCAAATATTAAAAAATAAATTATGATAATTGGAGATGAATTCTTTAAAATGCAGAATTTCTAAGAACAAGATAAATAAGATTTTACTTGTTTAGACGAGTTAACTCCTACATCAGCGGCTGTCCCAAATACATTTTATAACAAGGACTCCCTATACTAAAGATCTGTTAATGATAGAAATTATTTTTGAAAAAATTAAATTGAATGCCCATATTATAAATAATTATATGAATACATATTTAAATAATAGTTCAAAATTGTTCTAAACAAATACTTAAAAGAAAGAAAGTGAAAAGTTTTTTGATTTCACCAAAATTTATCATAAATAAAAATGAATTAAAAAAAAATGGCTTAGAACAAACAATTTCAAATATATTTTTATTTAATTTTAAACTCAGTAATACCCAAACCATTACTAGATTTTAATTAGGAGTTTGACTATATAAATTAAAAGAAATTAAGTGAATTTATATTCTAAAAATTATTGATATTGAAAACTTATATATTATTTTTACAAAATTTATTTATTTATAAAATATCATAGCAATACATAGAAGAAATGTTAAAATTACTTTTTAAAGGATATTTTATCAATAAATTATATTAATAAACTAATTTATGAACTGACTTAAAAAATAAATTTGAATGGTCTAAAAATTTTAATTATACTTTTTAGGAAATTTATTAATTGTTTTTTTAGGAAATTTATTAATTGTAATAATCTATTTCTTAATTCAAGGACTTTTTTTGTTTTATTGAATTGTTATTACAAACATAAATTAGAAGTAAAAAATGTAAAGCAAATTTTTATAATTATATTTCTGATTTTGCGCAGATAATTACAGCCTAATTTTTTAAAAGAGTTATATAAATTCTATTAAAATTAGCGTTATGTTGAGTAAAAATAGTATTGGCTTGTTTATATCACATAAAAATTGTAGATTTCAATAGATTACCTTTAACTTAAGTTTACACTTTGCAATAATAAAATGCGAGTGTGGTTTAAATTTCAAATTTATACAAAATATTTGATATTATTATTATTTTGAGCAAATTATAAACTGGTAGTACTATGATTTGCATAAAAAATAATTATTTACTTTAGTGATTAAGCTTAATTAAAGAGTAAGAAATATTCAAACTAATAAATTAATAATTAGGTTTCTTAAGTTTTTGTATTTAAATATATATACCATCCAACAAAGTTGGCATTTGATAAAATGATTCAGTCACCTATGATTGAGGATTATGATAAGCATCTTTCAAATTCAAATATCATAAAGTTTGATTATCATAAATAGAGCTCTATTTATTAAGGCACGTACAGTGCTCGCTACAAAAATAAAGTAGAATCTCCAACTGTCTTTGATTAGGAAAGTGAAAATCAGCAAGACTAATGGAGTTCTAGTGAAAAAATAAAATTAGTAGAGCTAAGGCAAAAGTTAAAAGAGATGAAAGACAGGATTAGGGCATAAAATCTGGTGAAGAGTCTTCCGTCAAGGATGCTAAAAAATTTAGACTAGAATAAATTTAATCTGCTAGGCGATAAAACTTATAATGATGAATAGATTCATGTTTAGTAAATAGCGCTTTATGATAAAAGAGTGAAGCTGGAAAAAAAATAATAGACAATAAAGCAATTAACTCAAACATAAAATATCTCTTAGAATTCTAACATAATGAATAAATTAAATTTACTTTCTGATGATTCGTAGCTCTTTAACTAGCTGAAATAGCCAATAAGGCGTGAAAAATAAAAATATGTTAGAGTAGGCTTAAGTAGGAGCTTAAAAAACATTTGTAAATAAATACTACTATTAAGTGAACATATATTTAATTCTATTCCAATTATCCAGCCTTCAAGCTTTTTAAAAGTGATATGGGATATTTTGTATGGAATAGTTGTTATTATAAGCATGTTTTTCCTTCCAATAAGTATCGTTTTTGATTACAACTACTCCTTTATAATACCTGGAGGATTGATTGTAATCATACCGATCATATTAATGCTTGATATTTTAGTCAACATGAACACGGGGTACTTTGAAAAAGGTTAAGTAGTTAAAAGTAGGGTATCTATTGTGTATTTCTATTTAAAAAATAATTCTGTTACAGACATAATTTCAGTTATTCCCTTTATAATTTCCTTCTATTTCGATCCCTTTATTAACTAGAGTTTGAGTGATTAAAAATTAGCCTAAAATAAACCAAATTGGATTTAACACCCAGCTTATAAAATTTTTTTGATGTTTTTTTTCTTCAAAATTCTCTCACTTAGCTAAATATTTAGAAAAATTGAGGAAAGATTTAACTTAAGCAAAAGAGTTACTTACATATTACAACTGATTAAATTACTCTTTACCATTATTTTGATTAACCACTTGTTTGCCTGTCTATGGGTATATGTAGCAAAGCAAGAAGGAAGTAGTGTTAAAACTTGGATGAACTCTCTAGAAATCAACTATGACTAATGGTATTCCTAGTATATAACAGGATATTACTACTAAACAGTAACAATGAGTACAGTTGGATATGGAGACATTTCACCAAAAAATTAAAATGAAATGGTTTTATGTGTCTTAACAATATTGATTGCTTGCTGTGTGTTTGGTTACACTTTAAACGAAGTTGGATAGATTTTTTCTAATTTCTTCCAAGTCTAAAATGAAATTAAGAAGAAAATCGGTTACATATAAAGATTTATGAGCAAAAAAAATATAGACTAAAAATTATAATATGAAATAAGAGAATATTTGGAATACTATTGGAGAGAAACTTCTGAAATGAATTAAGAGTAGGAACAACATATCGTAAACCAGCTGAGTGAATCTCTAAGATCGAAATTAATGTATGAGGCAAATAAAATAGTATTTAAAGACTCGCCTATTTTTAAACGTAATTTTTCAAAAAGCACTATGGAGTAGATAATACCTCTAATTTAGGAAATGAAATACACTCCTGAGACATTTATTTGTCAGGAGGGAATATAGGATGATGCGTCGATATATTTTATTGAGAATGGCTCAGTAGAAGTTTTACTATAGGTAAAAGATAAAAAGCAAAGAAGCTTATTCACTCTTAAAAAGGGTGAGAGTTTCGGAGCTCATACATTCTTTACAGGTCTCTCAAGAGTAAATAACATCAGATCTAAGGAATTTACAACTGTTCTAAAAATAAGAAGACAAGATTTCTTGCAGTTAATACAGTCAAATAGCGAAGATTACGAAACATTTTGTAGTATCAGAGATTCAATAAGCTATTTGAATGACTATTCTAAAATAGGGCTAGGATGTTTTAGTTGTAATTCTCAATAACATCTAGTAAATGAATGCTAGTACCTACATTATATACCAAATAAAGCAAAAATTTATAAGCTATTTAATGATCAATTAAATATATCTCATTCTCAGCGTTAACATTAAGAAAGAAGGAAGATAAATCCAAAATATTACTTCAAAAACTCTCGTGTGATTTTTAAAGAAGTGTTATCCTAAGCAGAAATGTAATTAGTTTTATTAGTTCTCTATCTTAATATTTCAGTTTGGTTTACACATTTTAACTTTTAAATTAATTAAATTTTTTTTTTCTACCAAATTTATTTTACTGTTCAAAAAATATTGCTTCTTGCTCTTTTTAAAAAATAAATTAAAGTGGCAACAATAGCTAATAAAATTAAACACTTGGATTCTTTTTCAATTCATCTATTTTTTTTCTAATAAACTTTTGAATAGCACATTATAGAAAAATTTATTTAGTAACAAATAAATTATTTAGAAAATGAATAAATTTCAACATTAAGTTTTTCAGCCTTACAAATATTTTTATAATTTTCATTTTGCTACTGGTGAAAATTAATATTTTTTAAAAAAAGATACTAAATAATTAAAGCTATTTACAATTTCTTTTAATGAATTTACTTAAATTAATTAATTAGAAAAATAAGATTAAACTTTAGGATACAATATTGTAAACTAAAATTTCATTTTTTTAAATATTTATTTAGATTTCTGGATAACTATTAGAGTTATATAAATAACTCAGATGATGATTCTTTCTCTGAAGGATACTTTTAAAGTGATTATAATGAAAATATTCTTTAATTCACAGATGATGAAAAAGATAACAAGTACCACTATGTTGAAAACAAAACTTTAAATGGGAAAGAAAGTGCTATAAATACTAATTAAAATGCCTACGTTAATTAGCCTAGAACATTGAAAAGTAGACAGGCCTTGGATGCAAATTTTTCTTAATCGATAAATTAATTTGATATTATAGAAGAAGATGAATAAGGTGAAAATGGTAATGAAATCTTAAATTTGTTGAGGTAAAAAAGTGATAAGCAAAACTAAAATAAAGAAGACAAATAAAAATAGTCCAAAAATTATAATTAATCCCCTCAAATAAGCAGTAATAATGGATTTTAAGCTATTATTACAAATAGAACTTCCTCAAAAAGGAATACCGATACTTAATTTACTCTTCCTTCACTCTACAGGAGTAACACTGTTAAAACAGAATAATAAACAACCAATTATAATGATAATGGTTCTTCCTATTCCAATCATAGATAATATTAAAACACAGTGCTTTAATAACATTCATCATAACAAAATCTTAATTCTAACACTGCTCTAGATGAAGTAGCATTTTAGGAATTACTAAAGCAAGCTCATTAGATTAACTAGATGTCTCCTGGGTCATTTAAGAGAAACACACTAAAGTAAATGACTAAAAAAATAATGAATGCATAAAAAATGTTTGATAGTGCCAATAGAAGTGCCGAGAGGAGACTCTCAAAGCAAATTCTTTTAGATGAATTGGGAAGCCCAACTTAATCAATTAAGTATATTTTATTACTTTTTTGTAATTTAGTTTAATTTTTTTAAATATGTGTAATTGATTAGATAGCAGTTTTAACAGAACAAAAAAATATCGGCAGAAAAGATAGTGACAAAAATACTTCAACAGAAGACTACAATGAATAATGAATCAAAGGAATTAGAATAAGTTTTGAAATAATTATAATAACTTGTTTTAAGTTAATAAAACTACTAATAGCTTCAGTAATAACTGGAAATTAGCAATCAAAACAACAATTTAAATTTAGAGAATATAGAACTTGATTCTTAATTTGATAGAATGAAGTAATTTGTTAAATATAATCCCAGGTTCAATTTTTCTAGTGTTATTAGTCGATATAACTAACTATTAGAAGCAAAAACAAAAAAATCTAAAGTTAAAAAGTAAGATAGAGCATCTAAACCAAAAGGATCAATTTATGGTAAGACAAGCAATAAAAACCTTGAGTTCCCAACAGACAATAGAAAATTTTCTAAATTTTCACCAGTAGCCCTTAAAAATAATATGATTTCAGCAATATAAGATGGCACTGATTAAAATGCAATGGTTATTTCTAATTCTTAAAGAAATAATGCCTATTCTGAGTCAGATTGTCAAAGTCCAACATACCATTAAAATATTTAAATTGAAAAAATTTCCAAACAAAAGTGGTAATTTGATTAATTAATTTTTATGTAAACTAAATAAATAAATAAATATTTTTACAAAAGTGAAACAAACTAGAACTAAAGCTAAAATTGTGTTGAAAGTATGAATTATTTGAAGGCTTCCAATGGAAATTCTTCTTAAATTATTGCAAGTAGTCCTATGAACATCCCTTTAAAGGAACCTGTAATTTTGGGTAGTAAATTAATTGAATACAAAAAGAATAGTTCTTTAAATCTAGAAGATAAATTCAATAAATCTAACTCTTTCAATTTTAACGGATTTGTAAATAAGTACAGTATCCTGAACAAAGAAGAAACTGTATGTGAAGATGTAAACAGCCCAAGTCTCCATATTCTCCCAAATAATTTCGATATGAAATTCTCTCAATTAAATTAAAGATCCATATTAGACTTCTAAGCAAAAGAATTATGAAATGAAAGTTAAACTTGAAGAAAAAACTTTCTTTTTTCTTTAACCAAGCTAACCAAATTTGCTCTATATTTCAATATGTGTTTATTAATTATAAATTTAAAATTGATCAATCTTCTATATAAATGTTTGAATTAAAACTTAAAACATAAAACAAATTATATATTTTAATTTTAAATTAATGAAATAATATAATTTCAATAGATTGTATTTATAAAAAGCTAAAAATAAACTAAATAAATATTTCATATCAAACTTAGTTTTAATAAATAAATAATTTTTTAGTAAATTATAAAATGTATTAATATATATAGTACCCTAAGGTACTATCTTTTTCAAGGCTACATACATGAATAATAATAAATTTGTGTATATATGAAAATATATGAGTATTTACAATTTTTTTTTTTTACCTTCTTTGAAAAATTTAAGATAAAAGCTGTATAAATATACCTTTAAATTTATAATAAATAATTAATATTTAATTATTTAAAATGATTAAATAATTACCTTTATAAATACAAAATTTTTAATTTAATTTATATCTTAAAATCATTGAATTAGTTTAATTTATTTTTTAAAAATAAATTGAAGATAATTTCAGACATAATTTTTTCGAAAATTTTTAGTAAATGCAGAAAGAACATAAATAAGTAAAAAATAATTATATAATTTTTCAAATATCTTCTCTAGGCATAGATTACATGTCTATGCTAACTTCTTACTGAGATTATAAGATATAAATGAGTTATTTTCTAATAAACCTGTCAGGTTTATATTTTTGGAATTCACTGATAATGTATCCACAGCAAACAACTACTGTAACTATGACAGTCATAGCTATTATGACAGCTACTTAAGTAGTTGATTGATCTTAACATTAATTTGCAGGGTGATAAATACATGTTGGGTCGTAAATTAAAGAAACATTATTTAAAAATGAGCAAGTAATTGTGTTAGATATTTAATTATAGACTTATCCCACTGCTGGTATTTAAGCTCCATTTGAATAAGAAACGCAGGCATAGTCTTTGTAATTTTGAGAGTTTGATAGCTAATAAATAGAATTAAGTAATTATTACTATTATTAGTTTGTTGTATCTAAAACTCTTACTTTTGGTATGCTCAAGATGACACTCAAGTAAGGAAAAGACTAAGTGCATTGACTTTAGCAAAAGATATTTTAACTTAAGTAGCCAATTGAAACAGTTTAATAATTTACTTACGATGAAGATGCTTGCTATTCAGTTAAGATTATTTATTTGTTTTAATCAAAGTCTGGCATGTAAAAAATGTTTTTAATTTTTAAACCTTATTGAATATTTTGTGAAATAAATTAAGTATTTCTTGAAAGAAGCCTGATTCCTTAATCTGATTGAAGAGAAATCTTTTAAGAAAGTTTATGAGAAGTTTCAAGAATAGTGTTGAATACATCAATTGTATTTTAAACATAACTACTTATTTCACCAGGCTAGTTTTCAGATACATTTATTGATTGCATACTGCTTTCAAGACCATTCTAAATATCTTCAATTTAGTTTTAATATTTTTTCTTTAAATTATTATCTTCAATCTTACTCAACAAATTGCTTTAAATAAGTTAATTTAAACTTTAAGCTTTTTCCTTAAGATTTTGTGAAATGGTCTTATCAATACACTCAATTTTTATAGAGGTTAAATTGTTGCCATCAGTAGTTGTGGTCATTTTCTTCACTTTTGAGTCAGGGCAGTTTGGCGTACATTTATCAGAATTATCTGATATCTCCAATACCTACTCACAAGTCTTTACGCAAATTCCTTCAGATGAAATCTTTCTGTTAATGCAATCTGAAGGTTTTATACATTAATTTTAGTTCTCAAAATCGAGTAAGTAATTTATATCACCACATTATTTAACACATTATTTTTTTTCTAAAATATATTTATAGCCTTCTATACATGATAGGCAAGTAATTCCGTCTGAACAAGTTGCACAGCTTAGGTTATTATTACAATTTTTGCAATCTAAGTTATCTCTATATTGATTAATCTAGCATTTTTATAAACATTATTTTTAAACTAATTCATAACCCTCTATGCAAGAAGTGCATTCAGTGTTATTTTAGCAATTCTAACAGAATAAGGACTAATTACATTTCTCACATTAAAATTTTTATTAATCTCCATACTTTCCATCTGGACATTAAGCCAGGCACTGTTTGCCATCTTTATAGAATGAATTCAAGCAAGTTAAGCATTCTGAGTTATTTTAACAAGTTTGGCAATTAAGATCTCTTCTACAGATTAGACACGTTTGAGTTGTATTATCAAGGTATTATCCATCAGGACAACTAGATAAAACACATTTATTTTATTACAAAGTGTAATTTGTTTTACATGAATCACAACTAGAGCTATCTTTGCAAGATTAACAATTCAAATTTTAGTTACATGTTTGGCAAATATTATTTTTATCTGAATATTTTCCTTAACCACAGGGATTAACACAAACTTTGCCATCTTGAAAAAAACCATTCAGACAAGATTAGCAGCTTTAGTTATCACTGCAAGCTTTACAGTTGAGAGAGCTATTACAGGGTTTACATATTTTATTATCAAGATATTTTCCACTTGGGCACTAATTAACACAAGAATCTCCATCTTTATAAAAACCATCCTGGCAAATATCGCAAGCAGTAGAGCTGATGCATGTTTTGCAGTTAAGTTTAGAATCGCAAGGATCACATTTATTGCTATTATTTGTATTTTTGAAAAAACCATCCAAACAGCTTTCACAAGTGGTAGAAGTTAAACAAGTTTTACAGTTCAAGCCTAATCCGCAATTTTAGCAAATTTTTTTAGAATCTGCATATTTTCCTTCTCCACAGTCACTTACACATTGCTATCCACTAAGATAAAAACCATCATTACAAGTTTTACATATGGATTAATCACTACATGTTTTGCACTTAGAGTTGCAATTTAAGCATTTTTTACTTATACTATCCAAATAATATCCATCTTAGCAACTAGAGCAGCTTTAATTATCTATGCAGGTTTTACAGTTAAAAGAAATACTGCATTGTTGGCATATCTTACTATTATCAGGATATTTTCCAGCTGGACATGTATCAACACAAGAATTACCATCTTTAAAATAACCATTTAAGCAAATATCACATGCTGTTGAGCTGCTACATGTTTTGCAATTAAGTTTAGAATCACAAGTATCGCATTTATTATTATCTAAATTTTTGAAAGAACCATCAAAGCAGCTTTCACAGCCTGTTGAAGTTTTACAAGTTTTGCAGTTCAACCCTTATCCACAATCTTAACAAATTTTATTAATATCTGCATATTTCCCATCTCCGCAGCTACTTACACATAATTATCCACTTAAATAAAAATTATCAGCACATGTTTTACATGTTAATTAATCATTACATGTTTTACAGTTAAGATTAGAGCCACAAGCCAAGCACTTTTTACTATCGCTATCTAAATAGTAACCATCTAAACAACTAGAACAACTTTTATCATCAGTACACGTTTTACAATTTAAGGCTGATACACAGACTTGGCATACGTTTTTTAAATCAGAGTATTTTCCTACACCACAATCACTCACGCAAATACTACCATTCTTTTTATAATTATCAATGCAATCTAAACAAGATTTGTTGTCAATACAAGTTTTACAATTCAAATCTTTTGCACAATCTTAGCATTTAAATTATTCGCTATCTTTATATCTTCCTTATCCACAGTCATTTACACAACTAGTTCCATTTAAATAAAAACTATCTATACATGTAATACATTAATCAGAAGCACTACAAGTTTTACAATTATTTGTACACAAAACACAAGTACTACCATTAAGATAAAATCCATCTTAGCATTTAGAACAATTATTTTAATCAGAACAAATTTTACAATTTTGAGATGCTGGGCAAGCAGTACAAGAGGAACCGTTCAAATAGTAACCATCTAAGCACTTTTTACAAGAAGTATTATCAGTGCACTATTGACAATTTTACAAGCAAGAACTGCATTGCTTTGAACTTGCATCAAAATAATAATTATAATCACAACAAGCTACATCTGAGAGATATCCTTTTGAAATATCACAAGTCAAACATTAATTTGCGTTATTGCAAGTTTTGCATTTCAAAGAAGGATTGCAAGGCTAACAAGAGGTTTATTCTGTACTATAGTATTAACCATCAGGGCAATCTGTTGCTAAAATATACTATATTAAGCTAAAAAAAAGGAAAAAAGAATATTTTAATATCATTTAATAATGAGAGTTATTGTATTTCTTAATTTTTAATTAATACTATATTATTTCTATCAAAATTATATCAACCACTAAAAACTTTAATTAAAAATATTTGCATTCATCATTTTTATTCACATTTGTATATATAATTTTTATTAGATCTTCTTCTTTAACTAATTTTAATTATCACATATTTTATAAAATTTAACTTTTTTTTGAATTATCAAAGTCAATTAAAAATACAGTAAATAACTCATCCTCTCTTTATTAATTAGAATAACAGTTAGTCTTTGAAAATAGTTTTCACTATAAATTTAATTTATTTGTAATTTACCAACAAAATTATATATTTATTGTATAAAATTTTATTAATAAATATGTGGTAAATTGTATCAAAAAAGTCTAATTAGCTAAAACATAAAAAGAAAATAATCAATATTTTTAATTATTTTATGTTCAAAGTTTTTAATATTTATTCAAATTAAAATTAAATTTCCTAAAAATCTTTGATAAAAATAACAATAGTTAATTTATTAAAGTAAATAAAATTAGGCAAATAAATAAAATAATATTTTTGATATAATTATAACTGACAACTAAAAACTTTAATTATTGGCAATATTTTTGCATAAAAAAGTTAAATTGTAAATTTTTTATAAATTAATCTATTAAAAATTTTTAATTTGCTAGTTTTCATAAAGTATCTTAGACGTATTTAAATTTTTTATGAATAAAATTCTCAATAAATTACCAATTTATAAAAAAATTTAATTATAATAATTTTGTTTTTTAATTCAATTGAAAATTCTGTCATATAATCTAATTAAACTTTATAAAAATAATTTCTTTTGATTATAAATTATGTTAATTAAAAACTAAAAAAATGTAGACGATTTTATAAATTAATAAATAGACAAATTAAGTTTATACATATATTTCTTGAGATTGAATATTTTTCAAAATATTCTCTTAGTTATTCACAATTGTAGCAGTTTGTGTTAAAGTTATGAATAAAGCTTTTTACCCATTTAAAAATATGTGAATGAAAACATATTTATGAATTCAAATTTTATAAATTTGTCTATATTTTAACTAATTATAAATGAATTAATAATATTTGTATTGTTAATTTTTCTAGATATTTGGTAGCATAAATATTAATCCTACCTTTTTCTATTATATTGTTGAGTTATATATTTAAGCTACTAAATAACATATTGTTTTAAGCATTTTTGGATGCTATCTTTGAGCATATAGAAATGATTTAATATTGTATAGAGTCTAGGAAAAACTACTTTAGAGTAAAGCGTCTACAGAATGATGAGTACTGCAATAACTGATAAATCTGTCTATACATACGTCTAATAATATCTTTTTTTTAATTTATTATTAAATTATAGTGGATATCAGAAACTAATAAAAAAATCTTTAAATAGAAGTAAAAGGACTAATAAACGTCAAAATATAAAAAATTTATTCAAAAAATTATAATTCACAAAAATATAGCTAATTTAAAATGGAAGAGAAAAGAATTTATTACAAGATCCCTCTCAAAAGAGTTAAAGCCACTACTACTACTGAAAAGGGAGGTAGTAATCTACATATTGTTGGTATTATAGATGCTTCAGGCTCTATGAGTTCTTGGTGGAAATGGATTGCTGAATTTTGGAATTCAGAATCAATTCCTAAGGAAAACTTACACACAATTACATTTGATGGTACTGCTCGTCACTGCTAATCAAATGTTTTGAGTACTAGAATTCATGATCATGGTGGTGGTATGACTGCTATTCCTGAAGCTTTCAAGATGTTTGAAACTGTCTTAGACTCAATCCCTGTTAATGAGAGTGTTACTGCAATCTTCATTTCTGATGGTCAAGACAATAACCTCAACACTTTAGAAGAGAGAATGAAGAAGCTAAAGGGCAATCATGAGAACAGAAAGATTAACTTCATCTGTCTTGGTATTGAAAGTGGATTCCCTACTTTCTTGAGTATGAGATTACGTTAACTCTATCATTAGGGTGATGAAAATATTCCAGCTTTATATTTGATTGAATACGTATCTGAAAAGGCCTTTTTCAACAAATTTGAAGGAATGAAAAATTACTTCTACTCTGCTGGTGCTATTAATTTAGACCCTCCTGTCATGATCTATCCTTGGGATGAAACTGTCGTTGCTTCAGCCTATGAAGGTAGTTGGGTCATTGTCAAGGGAGATGAACTCACTTTAGACGATTCTGAAACTATCAAGGTTGAAAAAACGGAATTAAGTGTAGAAGATGCTGTTGAAATATTTAGAGGTTGGATTCAAAAATTATAAATTTTGTCCTTAAATGACCCTGCATCTGCTAAATCAAGTGCTGTAATTGCAGTTAGGGAAATGCAAATTGTTATTGACCAACTAAATAAGACTTATGGCTTAGAAGATATTAGACAAGTAACTGAAGATTTAATTAATGCTACTCCAAACTTCGGTTTGAGAGCTAAGTATAACTTCATTTGGCGTTACGGATCAAAGATTGGATGGTTCTTCACTGAAGTTGACAATTTGGCTAAGGGTGTCTCAGCCAAGCAATCTTCCGAATTTGAAGCTGCCAAGCGTATGAACATAGGTACAATTACTGGTAAGCACTAGTAGAAGGCTTTGGCATTAAAGAATATCACCTAATCAGAATTTAACAAAATAAAGGAAGAATTTATTGCTACTCTTCAAACTTAAAAGAAGCATGCTGCAGAGCAATTAAGTTTGTTGGAAAAATTGAAAGAAAAATCATTGAAGCCTTATGAAGAAGGAGCAATTTCAATTGCTAAGATGTTGGCTAATGTTGATGATTTTATTCAAGGCCTAAACTACTGCAAAAATCAATATGATCTTTGTGAAACTTTACCTCTATTTGGATTGGCTTGTAAGGTAAAGAGAAATGAAGGATTTGAAAGCAACCCTCGTCTTGTTGATTTCAAGAGTATCTACATCAATAACTAGTTAGATGTTTCTGCCTTAACTAACTAGTTTTGGAATATTCCCACAGACATTAATGGAGATAAAGTAGAATTAAATGGAATCTTACCCTTGTTTAGAAGAGAACAAGCTGCTTTCTTACGTCCTCTCTTGAGAACTCGCTTGATGAAGTTCATAAATACCTACTTGCTCACATGCAATTTCGATCTTTTGGAAGAAAATGCTTACTTGAATGCCCTTTCTTCTGCCTTAATTGTTGCCTATCAACCTCAAAATCTTTCTATTAGATCAGTTGTTACTGATTTAATCTTTGAATCTCTTGAAGTTTATTATGATGAGGATAAGAAATTCCAAAATGTTCAAGATGAACTAAGTGCTGATCCTAATAAGGTTGTTTTGGATTATAAGGATAATATTGATGAACTATTCTTGTACATCTTCTTCGCCTAAAGAAGCAAGAGAATGGACAGTGATCAATTAGAAGATATTATGAATAAGGTTAAGGTTCTTTTCTTCTCATCCGCTGTAGCCAAGCATGGTCTCTACAGTATTATAAAGCCTGACTTCGAATCTATTGGTATGGATGCTGTTGAAGAGTAATTGAAAAAGTAAGTTAACTCCTTCTTCTCTCTTTCTGATTTCAGAAAGGGATTTAGCACTTGCTTTACCGACTTTGCTAAGAAGGCCGCTTCTTAGAAGTTACACATCTCCAAGAAATTGATATATGATGACGAAATTTCTAAAGTACCTCTTCGTTTGATTGAGGCCCTTTTAGATGACTATCAAAAGAGTAAAATAGAGGTTACATAGATGGAAGTAGAAAAATCTTCAAGTTCTGGAAAGATGATGGAAGAGCCAAAGGATGGTGAAGAATCAGCTGAAAGAAAGGCTCTCTATGTAGACTACATATACTTAGCCAGCCATGTTCACAAATATCCATTGAATGAAGCTTTCTCTAATCCTGTCGAGAAGGATCTCGAAAGTATCAAATAGCAAGTTATAGCTTCTGTTGATGAGGCATCTATCAAGAAGATCAAAGGTTTTAACGAACTATTCAATAAGGTAGAAGAGCATTATGTTAAAGTATTCATAGAATAGCATTGGAATGTTCAACCCATCAATAAAGAATAGCTCATCAAATACTGTGAGGAAAAGGAAGTTGTTTTTGATACACTCCAATTCGATGAAGCTTCTTTGTTATGCAAGAATGCTTGTATGAGTCCATTATGTCCATTCTTCTTGAAGACATCTGAAAAATTCAATAGACATCTTGGTGGTTGGTAAGGTAAGTTACCTCTTGGTTTCCACAGATTTGTTAAAGCCAGAGCAAATCAAACAGTGGATAAACTCTATCAATAGGCCACAACTAAATGGAAAGGTTTCCCTGCTAAGTTTAATGTAACACCTGAATTTGCTAAAGATTATATTTCAAAAACCCTCTCAAGTTACGTTGCTAAGTGAGAATTTTGTATATATGCAAATTTAAAATACTTATGAAAAATAATTAAATCTGTTGAATAATTAATCAATGTACTACTATAATTAAATTATTGTATTTTAATATTTTATATTTTAAATAAATTTATTTTAACTGGCTGGATAATAAAATTAAATAAATAAAACTTCTCATTATTTTTTTTATATAAACCTCAACTAAAAGTATAAATCAATGTAAGCTATTTTCTATATAATTCTTATTATTAAGTATTTTTTTAAATCCCATTTAGAAAATTTAGAACTTATGAAGTGAAAATTTATTTTTGTTAAAAACAAAAGAAATAATTAAAAAATTAATATTAAAGACAGACAAAATAATAATTTTTTGAGATAAATTAAAAAAGTAAAAAAACATATCTAATTAAAAAAAGAGTTTAAAGTTTAAATAAATAAGAATAGTTATTTAATTATTACAGAAATAAATTTATTTTTTAAATTCATTTAAAATGGTAAAATCATTATTTTTTGTTAAATTTAAATTATAAAATTTTTAAAAATAAATACTGTAAATGCTCGTTCATTAAGGCATATTTTAATTAAGGCATTTTTTTCTTAAATTTTTTTTTTTCTATTATGGTGTGCTTTTTAATCCAAAAAAAAAAAATTTATGCCTTAATTAAAAGTCATAAAAATAACCAAATGTCAAATAAAAAAGAATCTTTAATTTCCTTTTAAATTCTGAATGAAGAAAAAAAATTATATTTAAATAATAGAAATATTACATACATACAGGATATTTCATTATTAAGGTTATCTTTAATTATTTCAATATAATCATTATAAAATTTAGTTTTTTTGCTTTATATCTTTCTATAGACAAATAAATCAAATAATCTTGAGTATATATATGCCCATAATATTTACTTTCAAAGAACTTAAATGTTTCTAAAATAAATACAAAAATAATTTAAATAATAAAATCTGTCTTATTAATTTTTAACATGTACTTTAAAGTAATATTAATATCATTAACTTTAAAGCTAAAATTACTAACCTTATGAGATATAATGATTTTGTCTCTTTAGTTTATTTAAGGATATTGATATTTTAAGCTATTTTTAGGCTCTAATATGATTGTTAATATTGATTTTAATAAATATTAATTATAAATTAAGATAAACAAAATGAATTATGAGTTATGTAAACAAGAATATTAATATAACTGAAAACAAACTTAGTAAATATCTATTTTAACATAAAACAATTGCAAATTATTAATATAAGTTAGAATTTTTAAGAGCTTTAATTATTCTTATTAATTCTAATAAATTTGTGCTTACTTTTTTTTTTTATACATTTTATAACTAATGCCTTAATTTAATAATTTATTTTAGTAATTATATTATATTAAAAGCATTTTAAATAAAATTAAATTATTAATCAATTATAGAATCCAAGAGCTTATATTCTTTCTTCTATCTAAACGTATTCTTTTTTCAAAGGCTCTATGCTCCTAAGTGCATCTTAGTAGATTTAGAAACATTTGTAACAATACATAGGAGTAGTTTGAGGATATGTTGAATGTTTACCATCTATTCCCCAACCACATTTGGCATTCGAAGCAAGCTCTTCCCAGTCTCTCCAGTAGTTTGCTGTTCCGTGGTTTCCTTTTCTATTCGCTTCTTCAATAGCAACCCTCTTTATGGTTTCTATCTTCAAAGCTATTTTTTTCAATTCGCTATTCCACATTTCACGAGTCAACTCCTTATCTTCAACTTGAGCCTTTTCTTCCATGGCACGAGATTTTTCGGCAATTGAACGCATAGTTTCATATTAATTATCTATTTTTGTTTTAGCAAATTCAGCCTCCTTTCTGATGCCAGGCTAAGTTAAGACATCTAAATGAATTTTATTGAGTTTATCAAGGGCATCTTCAACTGCAAGCATATAAGTATCAGCATTACGCTCTATTTCTTGACGATATTATGTTGAAGCCTTTGAGTTTAGCTTGAGCATTCCCTACTCAATAAACACAAAATTTTATAAATTCTTTAAAGAGCTCTAAAGATTGCGCTCATTTTCTTTGTTGAGAATATCATCTACTATTCTTCTAACACCTACTCTTTCTGGTGCTTAAACTAAACGGCTAGAACGATATTATTCTAAGGAATTTAAAATATTCTTTGCTACGTCAAAACATTAGTTACCCTTAGCCTTAAATTCGTTGGCAAGCCATTTAAATCTTTTTTCTACCTATTTTTTTATATTAATAATAAATACTTCAATCAATTTAAGGTTATAAATTGCCAAAATAAATACTTGCAATAACTTTTAATTATATACACTGAATAAATCTAATTAATAAAAGTTATTGCTTTATCTTTATTAAATTGAGTATTTTTCGCACCTCTAATATTGTTTAAACTAATTAATACTCTCGCTTAAAACCTTGCATTAGGTAAATTTCTTATGAAAAAAAAGAAATAGCCATAGACTTGCTTTTTAAAATAAGAAGTTTTGCCAAAACTGAACTTTGAAAATGTTAATTAAAGTAAAATTTTACCTCATCTTCCGAAAGATCATTAATACTCTTATCTGCTGCTTCACTAAGTTAAACTAAATCTCTCAAAAACTTCTTTAAGTTCTTATGAGCATGATAGGCTCTTCTGTGGAAGTTATTATCAATGCACATAGAACAAAGACTTTCCAATTATTGAGTGTCATCGCAACGCTCATCAATACAAACCATGTTCAAATAATCATGGACTTAACCTTTGGAACAAACAGGGTACCTGTATTATTTAATTCTTTCGATATATTCCTGGTAAGTGGCTGAGTGGTACATAGTGCTACCATTTTTAGCGGGAGATCCTGAGTCTGACATTTGAAATCTTTTAAGCTATTATGAATTAATAATACTCCTTTTTTAAGTTTTTTTAGATATGTTTAATAAATCTTTGTTGCTTTCTTGTTATTGTAATAATTATTTTTATAATTTTTGTTTTATCTATATAAAGGACTTACTTACTTTGCTTTTTTTATTTTTGTTTATTTATTTGTTTGTTTGTTTTGAATATATAGGTCTGTTTTTTATGGATAATAAATATCAATTAGTTAATTAACAATCAATTTTTCTTGGCAAACATCTATGCATATTGTTTATTTTATTACAAATTTCTTGATATACTTATTTTATGTCGTCAGTCAATTCATCTTTATAAACGAATGATTGAAATTAACTTAATGACAAATAGAAATTATTTATAAGTAAAAGTTTTATTTGGATAGGATATTTTCTTCCAATCCATTAATTTTATTTTTTATTTTTCAAATATATTTGATTGGCTGCAATTTTTTCTTTAATTATTATTAAATTTCATAAACAGTATTTATAATAAATCCACTTTAAACAAACTATTATTTCCCTAATTTAGATTATACTTTTCCATCCATTATCTCTATACAAACAATCAACTCCTGCTCAAATTAATCTTTCAGAATTATCATCGAATCCCTTTTATCCTAATATATTTTTAACTTTAATTCAAAGTGTACAACTCAATTTAATATTCAAAGAAAGTTTGAATAGTCAAATAAAAATATAATTTTTCCATAAAATTAAAGCAATAGGTTTTTAATTTAAATTATTTAATGTGATATTAATTTTAAAATAAATTAATAATTTTTTTAAAAATAAAAAATAAAACTTATTAATTTAAAATTTATAGATCAGATTCTTTTCTTTAAGATAATTTCATTTTCATATCTCACACAAAGTTTAATAAATTTTATCTTCTTAAAATATGAAAATTATGTAGATAAAACTCAATAATAAGGAATTTGTGTTATAAATATTTGCATTTTATAAGTATTTTCATTAAACATTATTTATATTTTCTAATAAACTTAAATCATACTTAACAATATATAAATTAAATTATTCATAATAGCGCCGATTATTATTTTTAAAGAATAACAATAACCGTTTACCTTTTTGTTTAAAAATAATATCACTGAATCTAATTCCTTTTGAATAAATAAAAAATATTTTTTATAGATTTAAATAGCAAAAACATGTTTATTTATTGCATTTTTTATTTTTTACAAAGTACTCTTTTCATAAAGCCTTTAAATTCAAATTTAATAATAAATGTTTATCAAAATGATGGTAAATGGCCTTGTTTTTATATTTATATATTTATAGCTATTCGAAACATTGAGTTTTGTTGTCGGCCATACTAAGGTGAAAACACCGGATCCCATTCGAACTCCGAAGTTAAGCGCCTTAAGGCTGGGTTAGTACTAAGGTGGGGGACCGCTTGGGAAGTCCCAGTGTCGACAACCTTTTTTTTAATTAATTAATAAATGAAATTATATTTATATTATCTAATTATTAATATAAATAAAAACTGAATAGTGAAATAAAAATGAAAGAAAAATGATAAAATATTTATTTTTCTTCCATATTTTTTATTTTTTTGTTGAAATCTAAATTTTATTGTTAAAAATCGATCTATACATACAAATCAATCTGTATATATTTTGCTGTCGGCCATACTAAGGTGAAAACACCGGATCCCATTCGAACTCCGAAGTTAAGCGCCTTAAGGCTGGGTTAGTACTAAGGTGGGGGACCGCTTGGGAAGTCCCAGTGTCGACAGCCTTTTTATTTTTTATATTATTTTTTAAATTTATTTTTTAAAAATAGTTGTATAAAATAAAAAAGTATTAAATCATAAAGGCAGTAAGAAATATAAAAGTGCAAACGAAATCATTAATTTTGCTGTCGGCCATACTAAGGTGAAAACACCGGATCCCATTCGAACTCCGAAGTTAAGCGCCTTAAGGCTGGGTTAGTACTAAGGTGGGGGACCGCTTGGGAAGTCCCAGTGTCGACAGCCCTTTTTATTTTTTATTCTAAAAATTTACTTTCAAAGCTAATTATTTAAAAAAGCATCAAATAAATATAAAATGATTTTTTTATTTATTACATTTTTTTTTATGTTTTTGAAAATAATTTGATATATTTATTTAAGGGCATTAAATGTATTAATTTTGCTGTCGGCCATACTAAGGTGAAAACACCGGATCCCATTCGAACTCCGAAGTTAAGCGCCTTAAGGCTGGGTTAGTACTAAGGTGGGGGACCGCTTGGGAAGTCCCAGTGTCGACAGCCTTTTTTATCATTTATAATTTTTTTAAAAAATATTGAAAAATAAAGGTAAATTATCTATTTATTTGATACTAAAAGTAAGTAATTCTTAACATAAATAATAAAAACACACTATACTTTTTTCTTTAAAATATACATATTAAATTTTACAACTTTTGATAAATTTATCATATTTAAATAAAAAAAGGAGAGTGAAATAATTAATATAAAAGGCAGGAAGTTATTTATAAGCAAAGCAAAATAATGATAGAAACCATACATACATATATCGATTGATAGATAGATATTTATAAACATAATTCGAACAATTAATATTGGTTGATATTGTTAAATTTAAAGTTTAGCCAATAATTTATAATAAATTTTTTTTTTAATTATTTCAATTTTCTTCCTCTTCTTCTTATTATTGCTATTGGTTTTCTTATCCTTCTTCTGGTTCTTGTTACTTTTCTTCTGGAGGGACGGGCTATTTTTACATAAGGATTTGAAATATGTTTTTGTAGATTTTAATTTACTTCAACTTAGCAAGGTAATTCAAGTTATTCTTCTTAAATAAATTCAGGTTCTTTGGGATAGTAAAATTCTTATGATTATTTGAATCCTTAACCTATATACAAGTTCTACCACTTTTTGTTCTGTTAAGTTTAAATTAGAAAACTTGTTAAAAATTTTGTTTTTAATCATATTTAATTTACATGGTAAATAGTGACATGACCAGGCCAGTAGAGATTTTTAATAGAAATATAGCCATAATTTTATTAAATCACTTTGTTGGGCTAATCAGCAGGAGGTTTTTAAGCAACTCCATAATCTGTTTGATCACCATGAGTTCTCAAAATCCATGCAGATTTATAACCTTCAGGAGCTAATATAAAATTACAAATAATCGTTTATTATCTAAAATTTAATTAGTAATTTAGTTGATAAATTACCAGAATCTGTATTAAGAGGCTTCATGAGAGGTTCAAAAGGATCTTTAGCAATTGTTCTTTTTTCAACATCTTCTTATTCCTCACCCTCTTAAGCTTCTGGAATAGTGTGTTTTAATTTACCTTCCTATTTTATTGAATAAAAAATTATCTTCATGTTATTAAATGATTAATTAATTAATTACATTTAAAATATTCTATTTTGAGTGAACCCAACCATTTAAGGTAGAGAGAGCTTAGAATTCGGGGAAAGTAAAATTCTCATCAGGGTCAATTAAAGTACGGCCAGTTGCTTTTAAAAATGAAATTTAATACAAAATTTATTTAAGTAAATTTTTAATTACCATCTTCTGGGTCAACGAGCTTTAATCCTCTGGGCTAGACTGAACAGCAGTGGCTAATTCTAACAATCATGCACTTAAGCAATTCCTTTTCAGTTCCAACACTATATTGAAGATTATTTGCAGGCTTAACATTACTTTCGAAATGAGGATTAGTAATGACTTTTCTATTCAAATCACCTGTAAAAACGTATTTAATTCTCCTTGAAAGTATTATTTATTGAGGTGTAATAGGAGGAAGTTCAACCCAGTTACCTTGAACCACTGTTTTTTATTTTTTAATTGAATTTTAATTATTTGATATTTTCTCCTAAAAAATTACAATCTGTAGTCACATAGTAGTTTAATTGATTTACACTTGGTTCATCTCCACCCAAAGGTTCAACTTCAGGAGGAAGCTCACCATAATCTTCGAAGTCAGCTTATCCTTCAGCAATATAATAATCTTTATTAGTGCAGTGAATTTTACCCCACAATCTAACATTTTTCAAACCTTTTTCTTTCTTGGCATTGCTTAAAACCTAATAAAAATATAAAATAAATTGATAAGATAAATTTTAAAAGCTTAATGCTATTTGTTAAACAATTAATAAGTAGATATTCTAATTTAACTAATTTCAAAATATTTTTGCTTTTGCTAATAATTAATATATTAAATCTGTCCTTTCTTTAACTTTCAAAATAATTTTTATTTTTCAATCAAACGATTCATTTGTTTAAAGTGATTTTTTCTAACGAAAATATTATTTATTTATTTATTTATTTATATATTTTTTATTAGCTTTGTGAATTAAACTATTGCTTGCTTTTTTATGTAAAATATTTATAATCAAATATATTAATTACTGTCAGTGCTCTAAATATTCTATATGATTCTTCTTCTCCAAAACCTACACCTGCCCATTCAAACCTTAAATTTATTTTAAATTATACGTTAATTATATCATGAGACAGCTATTTTCGCTTTGAAAAATTTAAGCATTATTCTTTGATTATTTTAAATTGTGAAACTATTTTGATTTTCTAATTTAAAAAGTCTCTTCTTAAATTTTCTTTTTTTATATTTTTATTTTTAATTAATTTACCATTTTGCTTCTTCCATAAAGTTTGGTACATATCCAATAGCTCCTACTGGTGCTAAGTTATCTTCTTCTCCTTCCATAAGAGGCTATTTTATGCAAAAATTAAAAGTGTGAATTCATGACAAATAGTTACAAAAATGAAATCATTCATTGTGTAAACCAAAAAATGAATAATTTAATGATCTTTTTGACAACATAAAACTTGTGACTCAAAGAAAATATATTTACATCAAGCAATTTTTTGTTGGCTTTAAATGATTCGCTAACAGCTTCGTACTTTTCTCTAAGTCTTTCAGCATTATCTTAAAATTCATTATGCTTTTTGAAATCATATTTATTTTGCTTGACGTTAAGAGATTCATCTTCGAAGATATAATAAGCATTATGAGGGTCATCTAAGAGAAGCTTTGTCAAAAGATTGCTAAGATGGTTGGTTAAAGTATTGCCTTCCTTATCTTTTATTTTATCTAATTAAGCCTTTAATTAAGAACTCATATTTCTTATTTATATGTTTGTTTGTTAATCCGTTTCGAAATCTTATATAAAAACTAAGAAAGTTTTTTGCTTTATTTAATTCTTTGTCTTTTGTTTATTTGTTTATTTATTTGATAAATAGATAGATAGAGTATTAATTAATTGTTCTCTTCTTTGATTATTTATTTTCACTAATAAATATTTCAAATAATAATTAAATGCTTTATCTTTATCATCTTTATATTTCTAAGAATTAATTCATTTTGTATAATAGCAATCATATAAATATTTTGCATTTAGCAATAAAAATTTGCATGTAAAAATGTGATGAAACTTTAATTTAAAAAGATATAAAAAAAATTAAAATACAATTAATTTATCAAACTCAATTATTATTTATTTTTTTTGGATTTGTTAAATTTTCTTGATGAATATTAATTCAATTAAAAGCAGCCAATTATTTTATTCATTTTCTTTGGTTTGTATTTTGTAATTTGAAATTTTAAAGTTTAAACATCCAACATAAATAAAAAAGTTGTTTTATACAATAAAATTAATCACTTTATCGCTATTAAAATACTATTTGATTGAATAATATCTTTTATAAATATCTTAAAAATAAGTTAAAATCTATTAATATTGTTTATTTTGAGTTGTATTTTCTCATATTAAAAAAATAGCATTTTTTATTTTTAATATTATTAATTTTCAACATTTTCTAGGTATTTTTGAATTAAAATTTTTGATAAATAAATAAAAATTAATTTACTACAACATTCAATATCAGAAAATTGTTTTGATTTTAATAGATTTCTAAAAATAGTTTAAGATTTATTGATATTTTATAATACGAATTATACAATTTATATTTTTATTAGAACAAACAAATTTAAATAGTTCTCCAAAATATTTTTACAATTGGAAATAAAAAAACACTAAATAATTTAAGAGTAAAAAATTAGATAATAAATTTAGTTTAGAAAAGCTTTGGGACAGTAAAGATTTTCTTAATTACATTTACACAAGTAAGAGATATACATGTATATTTGCTATTGATTTAAATAAAAAGTGGATCGATTTCAAAATTTATTTTAGGTGAGGTGATGTGTTATTAATATAATGTGTCACAAATCTAATGAAATGAAAATTACTCAATTATTACTGAATAAATTATTAATTGCTCCTAATTTTTATAAAATTATATTTAAGCTTATACTTTTTGGAGTAAGTTTGTAAAATTTACATTAAAATTTTTTAATATTTAGAATAATTTAAGGTATTTTTTATATTTAACAAAAATAATTATCTTTTGGTAGGCAGATCATTTAATTATTTCAACAGATTAAGTATCTTTGTTACTTTAATATATTATTAGGCCTTTATTGTGAAAATAAAAGAGCAGCCTGATTTGACTTTTAAACAAATTTAAAGAAAAATAGACTTAAAAATTTGAAAGGTGGATATAAATAAAAAATATATAATTGAGCAATTATTATTTAAATATTGACTAAACGAGCTTAACTTTCGCTTGCATTAAATTATTTCGCAGACAATTAAATTAATTAAATATCTTTTTTGATTCCAAAATTAAATTAATTATCAAATTAGATTTTCAGACAATTTTTTCAACATAGTTTAAATTTTTAGGAAATAGTTAGAAAATGGAAGATAAAACAGACTTTTTTACCCCTCTCACAGAGGAGGAAAAGCGTCCCATGCATAAGTCAACATTTACTGCATACGTTAAACCTACTTTTTTTAAAGAAAAGTCGATGGGTGATTTAGGGGATGATGATGTAGAAAACTCTTCACCTGAAAAAAAAAATGTTTTGAAAGCTGAAGAAATTCGTAAATAAGAAATTTTAAGAAAAAGGCAAACTGATGGCTACTTTCAAGGATAAAAGGTGAAAAAAGAAAAGAAAAAGAAGCATATTTTCGCTCGTAAAGCTACTTATTTACCTAAAGCTGATAAACTACGTATCTCAACAATGGTGGTAGAAGAGTACAGATAATATCCTACCAATTACAGAGATTTAGGATATGGTTGCATTATTAACTTTATCTGCTATATTTGCAACTTGTATATGTAGGGATTTAGTAGATTGATGAAATACTGTGGAGATATTTGTGGTAAATTAGAAGATAAATACACTTCTGCGAATGTAGGTTATGGAATGATGATTCTATCAAACACTTTATATTTGGTTCCTACATTATTCATTAAATGTAACCCCCACATTGATTTCTCCTTGGCTGTTATGTCAAGAGGTATATTATCGATAATCTTTATTTCTTAAATGGCACATGTAAAGAGACAAGAGTTAACTGACTTCCCCAACTCAGATATCAAATTATTAGTTTATAGAGCATTTTTGACTGCTATTTCTTAGCTCTACTTCTTTTTTGCTTTAGGCAAGTTACCACTTTCTATAAATATGGTTATTTCAAATACAGGACCTATATTTGTATTTATCATGTCAGTCTTTTTCTTTAATGGCTAAATGCAAACCAAGGATGTTATTGGTATTATGATTGCAATTTGCGGTGTATTTTGTGTTGTAAACCCCAAACTTGTAGAAAGCCTATTAGGTTTTGGCAAATAAACTTAAGTAGAAGATCCTTCATAAGAAGCAAAAAAGGAATTCCATTACGCTGAAGGAGCAGAAAGACTTCTTTACATTTGTGTTTTCCTTGTTATTTATGTAGGTTGGGCATATGGTATATTAATAGTTAAGTAATTGAAAAAAGCTAACACATTTGCTATGAACTTCTTTGTATCTATTGCTTTCTTTTTGGTAGGCGCTTTTACAATTTTATTCAGACCTTCTACGATATTTAATTTAAGCTTCTGGGATGTAATGGCGTTAATTTTTCTCGTTGGTCTGTTTTCCTTTGGATCTTAATATACATTTATCACTTCTACATTTTTGAATCATAATCATGGTCCCTTAACAATGCTAGGTTATTTATCTGTAGTTAAATCATATATTATTTAAGTTATCTTTTTCAATGAAGTTCCTTCAATTACTGAAATAGCAGGTTCTGTATTAGTGCTCTTAGGTGTAGCTAAAATTGTCATTAATTGAGGTTTTTTAGCTATATCAAATTAATAAAATTTATTTATAATAATTTATTTTATATTTTATTTAGGTTTCCGTATTTTCGCTAAATTTATTTTATCTTCATTTTAATTAAATCATACTTTACATTTAAAAACTATATTCAACAAATTTAAAACTAGAATTAACTAAAGTTACTGTTAAAAAAATTTATACTTTTTTAATAAACAAATATTTTTATTTTCGTAAATGTGATACAATACAAACTTGTTTGCTTGTTATATTTTTATAGTTTTTAAGAGGGGTAATAGAGTTTTTTTAGATAAATATGCACACAAAGCAAGAGTAACTAAATTTATGACTTAAATTTAATTAAAACTTACTATGAGGCTAGCATTTCTAATCCCTTTTTTTGTGGTTATTTTAAGAACAAATAAATATTTAGGAAATTATAATTTAAGATTTCTGAGCAGAACTAAAAAAATTACTTAAAGGTTAGAGCTATTTATATCACAGTTATTTAATTACTCTGAGTTAAATGATATATCAATAAGTATTTAAATGGTTAAAACTCTAAAGTTATTATTCAGATTATGTATTCATTTGAAAAAATTATTTTAATTTTATTATTTTTTGATTTTTCATATTCTTAATTTTTTGATTAACTTCAAAATAATATTTTTCTTCATAAAGTATTGCATGTTTTAAAATAAAATCTGCAAATAAATAATTTCATATAGAATGTTAAATGAAATTAATAGTGTAAGAAGTTATTAAAAGAATAAAAAATATGTCCTACCTGTAATCCTCTCTCCCAAAACTAACACCCAATTTATAATTAAAAAAATAATTTTCAATTTTTTTGTGTAAAATTTTTGGAATTAAATAGATTTTTGATTGAATGTAAGTAAGTCAATTAAGGATTATAAAATTTTTTATTTTAAAATATAATAACTATAAAAAATATTTAAGTCAACTTTTTAAAATTTAAAAATAAAAATCAAACATATAAAAATATAGTAGATTACTCAAATAAAATATATCAATTTAAAATAATATTTTGAATAAAGAAACAAACTCAAGAGTATTTTTCTTTGTAAGCTTAAATTAATTCATTACTGCGACCATCTTCTTTTCCAATATCTTTTAAAATTTATTCAACAAAAGCATTTGTTAACTCTTTGGAACTTTAAGCTGAATTTATATCAAGAAACTGACTTATACCTTTTGTTAGACTTGCAATCTCTTCATAAGTTTATTTTGCAGATTAATTTAGATAAAATGTATTGACTGGAACATTTTTACTTTAAAGTTTATCACATTCTGGAACATAATAAGTTAAACCTTTTAAAGGAGTAGAATCCCAATAAAGTTATCCATGTTTTTCTCTATGTGACTAAGCTTCATTCTACAGATGTGCAGGCTAATCACCTAAAACAATAACTTAACCTATTGGATTTTCATCACTTTATTTGTTAGCCCACCACAAACCTACTTCTACAGACTCTCCAGGATACGTACCACCAGAAGCTGTAATTTTTTATAAGTAAGATCTTAATTTATCAGGGTTATTTTCCCAACTTGAAGCTTCTAATATCTCCTCAAATTTACTATTATAACTTCTAAAGCAGCATATCATTATTTAAAAACATTAAGGATCATAACCTTTTTATTTTAAGATATCCCTTGCTTATTCAAAGGTTGTTTAGATAGTATTTTTAGTTTAAGTTATGAGATTACTCATTGAGCCTGTTACATCTAATGCAATAAGAGTTTTTGAATTTCTTTTT